GACAGTGTTACTCAAGGAGACTTTACTGTGATAAAAAACATTACTGCAAGAACAAATATTTCTACATTTCTCTATTCTGGACATAATCTCAGGCAACAACTTAGAAGATAAAATACCAGAAAAATGAGATTCTGAAAAAAATCCTCCAGCGTCCACACTCCTAGTTCAAAAGAGGACTCTGAGGGATTATGTACCACAACCCCCAGGAAGGGCTCAGACCCACAGTGAATGCTCCACCAAGCTCCAGGGAATACTGCCAGCCTCATTAGGCTGCTGCAGATGTTCACAGAGCCACGTCCAGAGACTTCTCCAGAAGGGAGGAAATGAGAGCATAAGAGCAGAAAAGGAGGAAGATGACATGTCTGGAGGAAATCCCACAAACAGCCTGACCTATCCACTGCCATTTCACTGCCTACTCCCTCCCTGATGCCGTCCAGAAACGGAATCCCACATTTCAAGTGTTCTATTGCCTTCTCAGCTGGTCACTCCCAGTCTACTTATCTCCATCCATCAATTTGCTAATCTCTTCCAGGAAGGCTGAAAAACCACCCTTCCCACTCCTGCCCTTGTGTCTGTGCTCTCATCCATCACACACCCAGAAACACAACATCCTTTCCTGTATGGGCCTTTTATCCTCACCATGTGCCCACAAGCACACACCATCCCTTTGAGTCCAGTTATCTCACTCCTCCAGCAAAGTTTTCTGATGACATCACAGACCCAAGTTAGCCACAGCTTTGAGGGTGATTTCCCAAAGATCAAAAAGTCTCTGAAATCCAAAAACCAGGCTTGTTTTCTTTCTCTCTATTCCCACAAAATTATTTACTATTTTAAAATATTAGAAGTCTTAGAAATGAAAGGATTGTCAAAAGATCTCAATCATTCACCAGTTCTCCTCAGGGTGACCTCTTTCTTTCTCAGGCTGACTTCCCAAGTTGCAGCAACCTCTTCAGCTTCCTCTTTTGGGATCCTGCAAAAGGTCTCTGTGTCACTGGGAAGGTCTGGCACCATCTCTGCTCCTCCCAGCAGCCTGACAGCATCCTCTGATGAAAAATGAAAGTGTTTTTTTAACTACTGACCATTGCTGTTAAGACAGGCGAAAACTCTTATCCTCAAAAGGCTTCCTCCTGGAAGCTGGTCCACATTTTGCATGGTGGATGCTGTTCTGGTCCTCATATTCCTGGTCCTCACAGCTCAGAAATGATCCTTTAAATGGGAAAGGTTCAAAGAAGGAAAAAGACTATCAAAGGTTTGGGAAAAAAGAAACCAGGACTCTGCCACCCTAAAGAGCAATGACTAGGGTGGGATAAGATAAAGATCTACAATATCTCCATTGTCAGGAGGACAAGCAATTTAGCATCTCTTTGAAAAAAATAACGGAGGATGTCAAATTAATTAGTTGGAATCATGTGCAAAATAAAAGATGGGTCGTGTTCTAGAATAACTTGTAAATCCAAGGAACAGCACTAAGAGGGATAGGAAACAGATAGTTTAGACTTTATTAGAGAGGAATCATAGAGTCAGGAACAGCTCTGTAGTTAAAAATCACCAGCAGCACAAAGAGCATCAGAAGGAAACATCATTAAGTTAACCTTGTATTTTCTCTGCTCTGGACAGTACCCACTCTTGGAGGCAAGGTTCGTGGTCTGAAACCAGTGACAGGCCTCACAGAAAGCTCCTGGGCAAGAACTGTGAGAACAGTGGCAGAATTCACTCACCTGCTTTCAGCACGCAGCTCTCACCTCCCTCCTGTGCTGCTGAAAGTTGGTGTCACTGCATCCTGCAGATGATTCCTGCATGGAGCAGCAGCCACTTACCACTCCCTGTCGTCTTTCCCACAGTGCTCCTGGAACAGACTTTTCCAACTAAAGGCAGCCATTACCCACCCTGGTACACCAGCATATAGATATTTATAAAATAAGTATTCTATTTGTTAATTTATTTGTTATTACATGTATGATACCTACAGTGTATGTCCTGTACACAGCTGTTATTTTGAGGAATGCTCAGAGTAAAGCCATTCATGTGCACACCACAGTATTGTTGCCATAGGTAGCAGCAGAAGCCTGTTTGTAGACTGCAAGGTTCTTCAGGCAGAAAGGAAAATTTCAAAGCATCACAATTACTGTAAACCCAAGAAATGAAGCAAGATGGGCCAACAATTTTAGATAAACATGTTACAAGTGATGCTTGTGGAAACTGATGCTATGATTAAAAATCTCTCAAGCTTGGATGGCAAGAGAAGTGGTAGACTGATGGATAAGCAGTACCTTCAGCAGAGCTGGGTTCTGGGCTCTCTTGTAAAAGCCAGACCTCTTGCCCTGTCCAGGTCTCTTCTCCATGGTTACAGGCCACACTTTTTTCCTTTATATTGTCCTGTATTGGCCTCTCTCTACTGCAGCACTTGCTGAAGTGATGACAAGCGGGAATTCTGATGAGTTAAAAACCTGTGAACCACCTGAATTCAGGTATTAAATTGGGGCTTTAAAGTCATGCTTTAAACTACACACATTTCAGGATATGCCACCAACTTCAGCAACTTCCCCATGACAAAGGCAGGATTTTGAGTTGTACTTAAGTTAGCTGAGTTACATGATAGTTGTAGAACCATAGCATAATTTTAGTAGGAAAAGACCTTTAAGATCATCAAGTTCAACCATTAACCCAGCATTGCCAACTCCACCATTATACAATGTACCCAAGGGCCAAATCTACACATCTTTTAAATACCTTTAGGGATGTTCACTCCACCACGTCCCTGGACAGCCTGTTCCACTGCTTGACAACCCTTTCAGTGACAAAAATTTTTATTAGTATCAAACCTAAACCTTCCCTGAGGCAACCTGATGCCATTCCCTTGTTACTTCTTACCTGGGAGAAGAGACTGACCTGTCTCCAGCCTCCTTTCAGGTCACTGTAGAGAGGCATAATGTCCTCCCTGAGCCTCCTTTTGTAAAGAGACTGACCTGTCTCCAGCCTCCTTTCAGGTCACTGTAGAGAGGCATAATATCCTCCCTGAGCCTCCTTTTGTCCAGGATAAACACCCTCAGCTCCCTCAGCTGCTCCTGGCGGAACTTGTGCTCCAAACCCTTCCCCAGCTCCTTGCCCTTCTCTGGACTCATTCCAGCACCTCCAAGTCTTTCCTGTAATAAGATGCCCAAAACTGACCCCAGGAAAGATATTAAACAGGACTGGGCCCAGCAATGACCTCTGGGGACACCTCTGGTGACCAGCCACCAACTGGATGCAGCACCATTCACCACCACTCCCTGGGCCTGGCCATCCAAGCAGTTTTCACCCAGTGAAGTGCATCCATGAGCAGCCAGATTTCTCCAGGAGATGCTGTGGGAGATGGTGCCAAAGGCTTTGCTGAAGTCCAAGTAGACACATTCCCAGCCTTTCCCTCACTCACTACATGGGTACCTTGTCACAGGAGGGGTCAGGGGGGTCAAGCAGGACCTTCCTTTCACAAACCCATGCTGGCTGGGCCTGATCCCCTGGTTTGCTGTGTGTGTCCACGATGGCACTCAGCATGATCTGCCCCATGACCTTCCACAGCACCGAGGTCAGGCTGCCAGGCCTGTAGCTCCCTGGATCTTTCTTTTGGCCCTGCTGGTAGATGGGCATTGTTTTTCCCAGCCTCCACTGAGCTGGAACCTCCCTGGTGAGCCAGGGCTGCTGGGAAATGATGGGAAGAGGTCTGGGGAGCACTTCCAGCAGCTCCCTCAGTACCCTTGGGTGGATCCCAGCTGGCCCACAGACCTGTGTGCATCCAAGTGCTGCAGCAGGTCACTGACCATTTATTTCCTTTTGGATCATGGGGGCTTCATTCTGCTCCCCATCCCTGTCTTCCAGCTCACAGGGCTGTGTACCCTGAGAACAACTGGGGTTGCTATTACAGACTGAGGCAAAGAAGGCATAAAGCACCTCAGCCTTTCTTATCCTTTGTTGCTATGTTTCCCACCACACCCAATATAGGACAGAGCTTGTCCTTAGCCCTCCTTTTGTTGCTCATATATTTGTACAAACTGTTTTATATGGCAGTAGCCAGATTTAAGTCTTAGTTGGGCTCTGGCCCTTTTAATGTTCCCCCTGCATAATTTCACAATTACAAGTCCTTGCTGCTGTCCCAAGCTGACACTTCTTCCGGAAGTCAGAAACTTCCCTTTCTTCTCCAAGTTCCAGCCCAAGCTTTCTGTGCAGCCAGGCTGGTCTTCTTCCCTGCTGGCTCATCTTTTGGCACATGGAGATGCCCTACTCCTGTGCCTTGTGCCTTAAGATTTACTTCTTAAAGAATATCCAATGTTCCCTGATTCCTCTGCTTTTCAGGACTGCCTCCCAAGTGACTTTGTTGCTAAGCATATGCTAACCAAGGAAAAAAATAGCATTTCAGATCACAGAAATTCAGAGACCCACGTTATCATGAAATATGAGTGTCTGAGTTATCTGACCTTGTCTGCTGGAAATTGGCAGAATCCCCAAAAAATGAGGAGGGGCAGTAATTTACTTGACATCAAGAAGGCTTACTCTTTCATCTCCTGTGCATGCCATCTAGAGAGTATTAATGTTCACTAGAGGCTGAAAGTTATGAATCAAGTTTGGTATATAATTATTTTTCTTCATCTGTTATTTGCAAAGTATCCAACTGCCTTGTCTGAGTATTTCCACTCAGCACTTTCAGGAGACTATACTGAGTACAAAGGAAATGTGACTTAAAGGCTAGACAGTAGAAAAAATGTAAGCTATTTTTTATGCTTTTCCGTGATGTCTCAAGAGTATTATCAGAAGCCAAGGACTTCAGGGAAAGATGTCCCAGACAGAGGCACCATGGAGGAGGGGGGAGTTGTCTGACTCATACTCCTTGCTAGGCATCTAAAGCACTGAAGAAACCTACATCCTAAACCTGAGTAATTTCCAAAGATGCAGCAGTGGTTCTGCCCTCCATGGTTTAGGAAACCCTATCACAGTTACACTCCAACAGACTCCAAATGCTGCTAAAAGAGTTTATTAAAGACCATACTAACAGTTCTCATAACAATGGCACGTACAATGATTCAAAATCATGACAAATAGTGTGGAGTTTTGAAGAGCATTATTATAACACACCATGGACAAGAACAAAGCAGATGTGCTATCTCAGAACTCTACAAGCAGGCCCATGAAATACAGGAGTCACATCATACAGCTACAGAAGTGTCAGAGAAAATAGAAAGGAAAAAAAAAAGTCATTCAATATGCAGTCCTTGAATTTATTGACAGTATTACAGTACTTTATGGGCAAGGACTGGCTTGTTCCAGCTGCACTTTCCAGAGCACAAGGGCAGCTGGAAAAGCAAAAATATCCCCAATAAAAACCCTCCAACAAACATGCCTCAGGTGCAATCATCATTCCATACCTTCCTGCTCACGAATTTTCAGCCAGAAATTCTGACCTCCCTGCAATTACTTTGCTCAGGACAGTTTTGTTTTTTAAGAAAACAAAAGCAGGATGCTTCTTTAAGACAGTGCAAAAATATTTCAATGGTATTATAAGATTAATGACAACCAGCATTGATCAACCACAGCACGGCCAACAGCATCTCCAAGATCAGAAGCAAATGCACGTGCTGCCCCTTGACCAGCACTCCAGACTGAAGGCTTGCAGAGGGGAGGTGTTTTCCTCTCTCCCAAGCAAGCCACCATTTCTGGGCTCATAGTGAGGAATGGTCTTAGCTACTCCAGGGTAATAAAATGCTACAGAAAGCCTGCAATATTAAATTATCCAATCCTCTGTCAAACACTAACAAAAGAATATTGAAGTGGAAAAAGCACATAGCAGCCATGTGATCTGTAATGGCTCTAACTCTACGATTCTAACGCTGATCCCTTCCCGACCGCGTCGGTCACGGCAGCCCGAGCGCGCCTTACGGAGCCGCGCAGCTTCCAGCACTCCCACGGCCGCCAGGGACTCCCAGCAGCACGTGGGGATTTGTATTCTCCGAGACACACCACCTAATTACAGCTGCAGCCTGCTCCTGGTGCGCTGCCTTTGCAGCTTTTGGCGAGGAGATCTCAGGCCCCACCCCGGGCTTGTGGCCCCGGTCTGGCCCGCGCTCACAGCAGCACCTCCATGAACGTGGACATGCGTTCATTCGGCGTGCATCTTCAGAGCCATCTGCACCTCTTCTTCTTTGAGCACATGTTGAGGTGTCTACATGTCACGTTGGCATAATCTGTGTCAGAAGATCCCCAGGCAGCTCCACAGTACGTGAATTCAATGAGAGATAACTGTGCTTTGTCAAACCGCCCCAAATCATCTCCTCCCAATTTCCACACAGTTGTGTTTGCATCGTAGTGTGATTACGCAGAACCTTTTTAATGCCTGCCAAATTCAGAGGATAAAATCACAGTGCTGCATATCAACAAAACCCAGCAATTCCAGCCTCCAATATAAAATAATTTATATACACAAAGCAGAATTTACATGTTAAATAAGAAGAGATTGTCTCATTCTCTACGGTGTCTTACCCAGCTACTAAAAAATAAATAATTCACATCAGATTGATGGATTTGTTTCCTATACAGCACACGTGCGCTATCGGAGCTGACAAAGACAACATGAAAAAAAACCTTTTGCAATGAATAAAAGAATTGTTGAACACTTGCACATATTGGCACAAGGCAGAAGAGGAAAGGGAACATTACACAGCTCAGCTCAGGTGCCTTCCTCTGTGGAGCGGGACTCAGACTTCAGCTTCACAAATTCCTTGGCAACTTCATCATTGGTTCTCTGAGAGAGAATCCTCAGGATTGTGAGTCCAGTCTCATCCATGTGAATCCTGCGCCCGAGGGGGCACCAGCAAGCACAGCTTCCTTTGTCTGCTATGTCTCTGAGCTGCATCACTGCTATCCCCAGAACCCGGTCCTCCCGGGCAAAGCAGTAATCCTTCACACAGACTTGGAGCTCGTAGGCATCGGGGCCATCTTCATTCCCCAGGATGCTGAAAAACACACACAAGTTCACTTACAGTGTCTGGACTGCAAACAAAGGTGCCAGCAGCTGACTGGAGGACTATGATAAGTCACAGAAAACTCCTTTCTACAGAAAACCCTGGTCAGAAGGAGAGAAGTAAAACCTGCAGCATGTGGGCATTAACCCAGTTACTGAAGAGGAAAAAACAAGCAACCTCTTTCAAACTGCCTTTGCAACTTGTGTGTGCTTGTATGTGTGTTAAACTGTGAAATGAGAGGAGGGGGAAACATTAAAGCCATGCTAATAGATTTTCAACTCAGATGACTTTAAACATTTCTGCTTCTGCTAAGGATGGCTTCATTTCAGAATTACTATTTTAATTAGATGAAGTCTTTGTTAAAGATTCAGGACCTTCCATTAATGTGAAAGCTAATAAAAATAAATCCCCAACCCTTCTGATGTTTCTAAAATTGAAAGAATAAAAGGAACAAAATCTCTTCACTTAGAGGAAGCCTGCCTTTCCTCAGAGAACAGAACAATTATATGAACACTCCCTTCTCTCCCTTCTCCCCCAGACGTTTATAGCCTTTTTCTGGTCAGCTGTCCTCATTTCATTTTTATATGTACAGCTGAGAGAGTTCAAGCCTGCAGCTCCTTCGGTTAAGCCTCCCAAGAAGGAATATGTCCTTGCAATAATGAAAGAAAATGAAATAAGAAGAGATCAATACTCAATGCTGAGAAACACAGCAATTTGAGCAGTGCAACTTGCTACCAATTCCATGGGCTGTATCCTTGGAAACAAGTTCCAAAAGCATGTCCCACAGGTCAAGTTGGGATAAAAACACACATTAAGATTAAGAAATAAATAAAAATGAACTTTTAGCCTCAAGTCTACCAATAAAAAATAAAAAGTTCATTAAAATGACAGAGCACAGTAAAATGTGTTCATAAGACACACACAGAGCATTTCAGAAGGTGGCCAAAGGACACTGCTGGTATGGAACAAACCTCCGCATCCCACCAGCAGCAAAAACTTCCATAATCCAGCTTTTCTGCCAAGACATCAAAGACAGGACCAAGCTACTGGTTCATGTACTCTTCTTGGCCTGTACAGACTGTCTGGGTACACTGGACAACCCTATCTGTCCCTCTGCATCTGCACTTGCCATGCCAGATCCAGATCAGGATATTTTTCAGACTTACAAATGAAATGTTTCATTGTATTTTGGAGCCCAGTTGTTGCTCTTTGACTTGGTTGTGAACTTCCTCTTCTTGTCACTCTGGTGGGGCCCAATCATGGTGATTTCAACAAATGGACGGAACATGCCAGATGTCTGCCACTTCAGGTCGTTGGCTGCCACAACTGCAAAAGAGTCACAACCTGGTTTACAGCAAATACTCATTCGTATTTTTTTGCTCTGGACATCCTTCAGCTCTGCCCTGCTTTCAATTTCTTGTTTCTAACTCATAACATGACAGTGTCACAACACATATGGACAGGACTTTCTTGTAATGCAAGGATATGCTTTTTTGATCTAGTTTAAGTTCTGTGAAGGGAATTTAAGTTTGCACTAGCATGTAACTTCTCCCATACAGATTGTCAAGAAATAAGCCCAAGAAAACAGGCATTCCTCCAGCTCCGGGCAGGCTGCCCTGACAGTTCCATGATTACATCACCATTATGTCTGGGATAAGGAAAAAAAGGGGCATTTTAGAGGCAAATATTAAAGTCTCTGTTGAAAAGGAAAATAGGACTGCAGGTAAGAAAAACAAAGCCCATGAGCTATGTGTGCTTTCAGGATCCAGAATTATGAGCTTTTAATTCTCATTCTGTCTCAGGTCACTGCAGGGAACATACTGAAGCAGAGGAAATAGGTCTGAAAAACAGCTTTTGCACTTCAGTGTAGATTTAACCAGAAGAGAGGCCTGAAGAACTGTTTATATAAATCTTCAGAGGAAATTGAAGTAGTTAAGTATGCTGTATTCAAGTGAAGGAGATGAAGGAGGAAAAGGAACCCTGGGATGAATCACTGCTTTGGTTATTTCCAGAGTGGCTGTTAGGGACCAGTGTGGACTTCAAGATTGGGGAGAGGAGCCTCTGAACTCTCAGGGCCTCTGTGATCTCTGGGTGTACACTGAGCAGTTTCGCAAGATCAGCCTGCCCCGTTCTCTGCAGCACAGACTAAACTGTGGCGCCTGGCGAGAGCCATCATCTGATTTTTGTTTACTTGCACACATTGCTGCCAATAAACAACCGGGCTGTGCACTGCCATGTCACTGGCTGGACAAGCTCATTTGCTGTTTCCCTACGTGTCCCTGATGTGAAACAGAGAAAACAATTCTGGCCTGAGATCCCACGAGCTAACACAGAAATATCCTGACTGCCAGCTGGAGATCTGCCCCAGCGAGCCTGAGCACAGCACGTGCTTTGCCATACCTTTCACCGTGACCTTGTGCTCCCCTGTTCCTGGGTGGGTGTACAGGTCGATCTGGATGGACACTTCTCCCACAGGATCATCCACACCGGAGCCTGTTGGAAGGAAATGGACACCCCCCCCATGCACACATGAATTACTGGTTATTGGCACAGGTCTTCATGGCCTCAGGAAGACAATGTGGTGTTTTCACAGCACACCTCCCAGAGCCAGCTTTTCAGTCAGCACTGAGAATGTCAGGGTAGTGCAAGATAGCATCAGGCTCACATGCCCAACACACATGAACACCAACACTTCTTCCACTCCAACAAAGATTGCATCCTATTGACAACACCAGTGAAGGTTTTTAAAGAATTTAAAAGACCTCAACAGTGGACCTTCACAGGGAGCAAGGATTTTTCAGAGGTTCCTGCCAAGCTACTGTGTACACATGCAGGCATTCCAGTGGTGGGCACTGGCATTCCTGTCTGCTCAGGGAAGAAGGGAGGACAAAAAAATTCAACAGTAAAAATAAAAAGGAGGAGAGGACATCACACAACAGAGGAAATATAGGAAAGAAAAAAAAAAGGCATTAGTGATTTGCACAGAGCCATAGTGCAGTCTCACCCTACAAGAACCTTCCTGCATGTTGTACATCACCTAAAAATTGTTATCCTGACTGTTTATCTGTGTCCCTTTGGAAGATGATCAGAACCACTTCTTTGTTGTGCATCAAAAATGATGAGAGAGAAGCACTCACAATTTGCATACTTATTTCTCTTTTATCAATTAGCCAGAGAGAAAACAAGATGTAGTTTCAGAGGGAAAAGAGAACATGTTCATAAAAGAGGGAGATCTCATGAACATTACAATTCATATTTTATTATTTTTTTCAACTTTTAAACTTTTAATCACAATTATCATCATGTAATATGTGGAAATGACATTTTTCTGAGCAATAAAGTTGTCACGTAAATTACAGAAAACTACTGCTTTGCAAAATGAAAATCAAGTTTTGGTAAGAGAGTGATATTTTTCTGACTTTCTCTTTGATAATTGCCTGATCTCAGGTTGACAATTAGCAATGCTGCTGTAATTGAGATATCTAGAGGGTAATTGAATACCTATGAATAGCAGTCAAATTTGAGGGTAAGATACATTACTAAGTGAAAAACTGATCTGTTTGAAATTCTACATAAGGAGATTGAAGGACACCATTACACAAACATTTTGATTAGACTGATCTAACAAGTCAACTTCCACAAGAATGGTCTGCAGCAGACCAAGAGGTTGAGTGCCGACCTGTGCAATTCTCTGAGGAAAATTACATGCCACAAAACTGTAGGCAGTGAGTCACATTAATATATCAGCAAAAGCATCTGAGAAACCAAAACAGAACCTCAAATTACTACTTCAGGGTAGGTTGTCATTCTTGACCTGAGCACATTGAACAATCTTTAGGGTGTAACAAATATGGCCTTGAACATACTCTTTCCTTCCTGCTTAAAAGGGCAATATTGCTTTTTTTCTGTATATAAGCACAGAGCTTTAAAACTGGTAGGCTTAATTATTGACCTGATCCATCTGCTGGTGTGGGTCTGTCACTTCATTGTTGGCATTTTCCACAGGAAGAGGCAGAATTACCAACAGTATGTAATGGCCATATCCACAGAAATATCAGCCACCAAACATTCAGGTCTTTATCAATCTTTAGTGCAACTAGTAGGTTATAAAGGAGATGCTGATGCCTCAGAAGAATAAGAGCAGAATCATTCCACTACCTTTGAAGAAGACAAAACTCATATTACAGTTTTTTCCTACCTTCATTCTTGTCTTTTCATATAAAAATCTTGTTCTGTGAACTGAAATTTTCAGACAAAAAACTACTCTGAAGATGGCAAACAAAAATATTCTGAGCATGTGTAACTGTGTGTGTACACATACTTGTATGTTTAGTGAAAAGCACATTTAATTCTTGACATGAAAGCCTCACTGGTATTGCAATGCTGAAAGGTGAAACTGCAGAATTGAGCTCGTGCAAAGGGTTATAGATGTGTTTCATCTGAGATAACAAAAAGACTTTGGACAGCAAAAAATAAATTCAGAGATGAAACACTGCAAGACTTAGTATGTAGGGGTCTCCTGGGTATCCAGACCTTTAGATAACCCCCCTTCAAGCCAGCTGGTTCAAGCTTAGCCATAACCTTGAGTGCATATCCAACATTCCCATGTATTACAGTAGCCCTTCTCAGCAGACCACACGCATGCAAGCCCAGGACTTGAAACACGCACCCCGTGGTAAAGGGAAGGGGAACAAGTCTGCAGCATCTCCCAAAAAACAGTCCATTTTCAAGACAGCTTTCACATCCCGTGAATAAATCTCAAGCGTGGGAACAGGTTCTCAGGCAAGGTACAGACTTCTAAACCACACAACTGTGGCTCAGTCTGTGGGATGCAAGCATTCAGTGGAAGTTCACTTCTACAAGGGAACTACAGGGAATGGGACTCTGGAAAAGGTTTCTGAGCATGGGCAAGATGATGTCAAAAGCAAGGCAGCTGGGTAATGTTGTTATGGTAACAACATTAATCTTGAACATACCCTTATCAGGAAGAATGTCCTCATTAGCGGTAAACCTTATACCTTTCCCATCATGCACTGAGACATGTTCAAAAGGCAAGAAAGCAAGCAGGATAAAGAGAGAAGAGTATGAATTACAACACAATTAGCAATGTCACTTAAACACAAGGCAAATATTCTAGTTCTTAACAGACAAAATATCCTCCTAGATCTTCTGCACCAGGATTTGGAGAGCAAGGCAAGTAAGGCATAGTCTGGGTTAAAACAGAACAGAATTTGTGCTGGCATAACTAAACTGCAGCCCCAATCCAATCTGCAGAGCAAACATTTAGCAGCATAGTGCCATAAAAGCCTACTCAGTAATGAAATGAAAGCAGTAGGTGCCTCACAAACTGGAAGGTGCAACCACTGAGCAGGAAGTAAGAGAAGCGAAGAGCATTTAAATGATACTGCATGAAGCCATGTCCTCCCAGGGGATTGTGGCACTTATGCAAAGGAAACCTCAGTCACAAAGCTCTGGTAAGCAGATGTGAGCTGTAAATAGTAGTGCTGTCCCTTCTGTCCCTCCAACCTGTGTGCAGTTCCCTAAACCCATCTACTAGCCGTGGTTAATGAGAAGGGTAAGCAACTAATATCCTTCTTTAGTTCCAATGCTGGGAGGGAGTCAGTCACAGAATACGCAGAGTTGGAAGTGGATCACTGAGTTCAGCTCCTGGCCCTGCACAGGACCATCCTAAGAGTGACATCTTCCACCTGAGAGCATTGTCCAAACATTTCTTGAACTCAGACAGGCATGGTGATGTGAGCACTTCCCTGGGGAGCCACTGGCCTACCACCCTCTGGGGAAGAACCTTTCCCTGATATCCACCTCTTCTGACACAACTTCAGGCCGTTCCCTCAGGTCCTGTCGGCATAGGGAAGAGATCAGTCATGCCTTTCTCAGACACATCCCAGCACAGATTCTGCAGATATTAGGTGGCATGGCACAAATCTTTTATTCCCCAAACAGGGTTCAAAATTCTCAAGCCTACTAATGTACAAGATACTGATTTGGATCAGTGGCCAGCTGCCCAGTACTTGTTCCCAACAGTGGTTTAGAATAAGTCACAAAGAAATGTCATCAGTCAGCTTTGAGTTTAAATTGATGACATCATAACATGTGCATAGATGCCCTAAAGCCAGAGCTTCATTCTTTGTAAGCTTCTTAAAAAATACATAAATACCCATGCACCCACTTCTGTAGCAGCCCTGTATATTCCCACTTCTGAGGGGTAATGATACTGTTCCATTATCTTTGTGTTTTGGCTAAATACTTGCCCTCAGTGAAGTATTACAGTCAAATCACACATTGCATGAAGCTGCCTTCTCATACCATCTTTGAATTTGTCACTTTTGTGTCTTCAATGGAGCACTTTTCTTTCTCTAATTTTAAGTACTCCAGACTGTAGTACGGACTGCAGGATATCAGTGCTGCACACTTTCTGATATCTTAGCTCAGCATTTATTTAACACTTTAACAGTAATTTAACAGTATCCACATGAAAAACTAGCTTCAATTAATTTATAGTTTGGATATATAATGGGAAATATGTGCATGGAACATCAAAGATTGTTAGCACTCACTCAAGCGTGCACTCAAGTTCCTCATTAAAATGTGGTTTGTGTAAGTGATGGCAACAGCCAGCCTCCCAGAGTCCCCAGTGGATGCAGCAGTCTTTGACCTGTCTGGCCACTGGATGTCATCGTTGCTCTGCTGGGACACAGCTGCAGGATCATTCTCTCAAAGGTACTGAGTTTTTATTTAATTTCAGCATTTTAATGCAGTATGTTTCAACATAAGGAAGACTAGACTGTGCTGCTATAGGCAGAGATCACAGAATCACAGAGCCATCACGGCTGGAAGAGACCTGCAATGTCATCTAGTCCAACTGTTAATCCAACGTTAATCCAGCATCACCATAATCATCCCTAAACTATGTCCCCAATTGCCACATTCAGACACCTCTTGTACACTTCTAGAGATTGTACACTTCTCCACCACCTCCCTGGGCAAATTATTTCAATGTCTAACCACCTCTTCAATGAAAAAATAAATTCTAATATCTGACCTGAACCTCTCCTGGCACAATTTCAGGCCATTTCCTCTCATCCTTTCACTTGAGACATGGCAAAAAAGACCAACTTGCACCTCACAACCTCCTTCCAGGTAGTTTCAGGTCCCCTCTGAGTCTCCTCTTGATGACTCAACCCACCAAAATGAAACTAAACTTTCCTCTTTAGAAACAAACCCTGTTTTGCTCACAGAATCTGTGAACTATCTACACTGCTAGGGGAATGCCAGTATCAAGCAGCCTCATTTACACACAATGGAATGTATGTGAGCTAGGGAGTGCTTTCCCCTTGATCCTGGGGCTTGGTGTGATGACCTGCTGGCAGAGTTAGTACAGTCTGTGGGGTTGCCAGCTCTCTTAGGCTTGGAAGGATTGAAAGAAAAAGGATCCCATGCAAAAAGATTGCAGAAAGACATGCCAGGGAGCTGTATGACTTTGTTGCTGGGATGAAGTAGCTTAATGCAAGGCTTTTAATTAAACAGCCTGAAAACACAAAAATACCAGTTTTTGTTTAGACCCAGCCCTTTGTAGCATCTGTCTCCCCTTACTGAGAATAGTGACATTCACAGTCAGCCTGTGATCATCCTTTACTAGAGACCAAATTATTCTGTACAATAATATGGAGATGTTCACATGAAAGCAATGAAATTAACTGTTTACCCCTCCACATTCAATGAAACAGCTCCACTAAGCCATAAGGCTTCTCAGAGAGTCACCAAACAGTTTGGTGACCCATCCCAGCAGCTTATTAATATGTTGTGGTAATCTGTAATCATCTAGCTCCTGCATACCCTGTACTGGCTGCAGACAAAACAGTGCATTTGTTGCTCACCTAAGAGACTTCTCCCTTTACAGGCAGCCTGTAGCTCTGTGACTCATCACACAGCTGTCACTCAGCCTTTGTCAGGGCCACACGGGTTGTGCCACACGCACAGCTGGCCTGTGACACAGGCACTGACAGGTTTCTGCAGTGGTGTCTTGCTGAAATGGTGCCTCACACCATCGCACAAGCCTCAGTACAGTAACATCAAATTTTGCTTAAGCCACCCACCCACATTAATTCATGAAACGTGACTGTTAAGTGAGGACTGCAGAGAAAAAAAGACCACAAACACCCCAGGCCTTATGTTTCACATGTTTCTGCTCTCCCCAAATGTAGTCATGGAGCGGCAAATAATCCCCTTTCCCTCTTTTCCAGTTTCACAAGCTCTGAACTGTCACACTTTCAGAAACGTTACTGCCAAAAGCACTCTACAAACTGGCAGTAAAAGGGAGAGAAATTATGAGCAGAGCCAAGAGCTTCACTGAACCCTGCCAACACAAAAGAATCTTACCCTGAGCTGTCTGAGACTGGACAAACGTTTTGATGAGAGTGTCTGTGGTCTGAGTGTAGAGGGAGAGAGCATATCGAAGTGACTGTAGGTCTGGACTTTTCTCCAAGAAGGTTTTCTTCAGACCATTTCCACCAGCATGGAAATATTGCTAAGAGTAAAAAGAAACAGGAAAGGCACTGAGTAAGAATTGCAACCAGCAGCCAGTGTGTATATGCAGTTGTGTGTACTGATAGGAAACAGCTGGAAAAATTCACAAGACAGCTTCTGTCTGTACTGGAAACTCAGCTCTCAGACCAGCTGATACCAACTGCTCATGGCATTCTTCTTCCAAAGCACTTAAATATGAATATGCTGACTCCCAGCACGCCAGTGCCCTGAACCTCTTCAGGTGTACACATGCATGGCAGTATTCACTTAGAGCCTTTACCACTGTGACAGCAGGGACAAACTCCTGCCATCTCCCAAACCAGGACAGGCACTGTCCTCCCAAAGAGGACTTGAGGATGGATTTGGTTACAAGGGACAAACTCCTGCCATCTCCCAAACCAGGACAGGCACTGTCCCCCAAAGAGGACTTGAAGATGGCAGAAATAGAAATGGCATCACTTACTTTGATTGTATCCAGTGCCAGGTCCAGAACAGCACACTGCTTTGGGGTGAGGCTCCTGGTTTCTTCTCTCACCATATGATCCTGCAAACAACCATTGTATTTGACATGAGTGTGCTGTCAGAGGCTAAAGGAAAAGGAGTCCCCAGCATCACCACTTTCTCCAGATTCACGCTGTATCTATGTGGTGGCAGCATTAATTCAGCTGTTCAAGGAATGTTTAATGGAGTATCTAAAAGTTGTTTATTACAGCTTAATTTGGAAATAAACTAATTTTGTCTCTTTCTTGCAAGCACAGAAGACATAAATAAGGAAAGAACTGAACAAAGGTAAGCAACAATTTAAAATCACAGTTTATCTCTCAAGAAAACCCTAACAGAAGCCTACCTGACAACACTGTCACTCTAGAAAAGCCACAACAAAATTCTCCAAATACCACCTATATCAAGGAATTCTGAGTATTAGGCATTAGTGAAAGTTGTTACATATCTGTTGTTTGTGGATTTTTTAAACTCTTCCAACTACAAAAGTCACTAATTCATTCCATCATTTGTGTAGAAGAAGAAAAACAAAAGGAAATAGGTTTGCTAAAAGAAGATATTGTTGCTGTTAAGACCCACCAACTCTAAAAGCGAAAAGCCAGTAATCATTTGGGAAAGAATTCCCTTTTCTGCAGTGGAAGCACATCTCTGTTAGAGTCCTGGCTGACTACAAGGATGTGCCATCCTTTGGCATTTCACTAAGCTCTTTCTCTCTGATGCTTAGTCTAGATCTCAGGGGAAAACAGTGTATGTTAGGAACTCAAAACTTTGCACAAATCCATATTCTAACTGAGCAGCTGGAGAGTCAGGCCAGTTGACTTCAGGCTAGGCTCCAAAGCATTCATAAAAAAGATGTAGGCCAATCAGGCCTACACAGGCAAAGGCTTTATCCCTACTTTAAACATGTCACAGGTCCCCCTAGACACTTCCCAGGAGACACATCTGCTAAACTGCCTCTGTGTAAAGCACACCTAGTGTGCAGCATCATGTGTGGGTTTCACAGGAACAAACCTGCTGGCTATCTTGCAGCTTGCTGATTCTTCACACTGCCTGATGCTGTACCCATTCATTATCCACTGCAATCCACCTCCTGCCTGATGGAGACAGGGCTCTCTACAGTTTAGGGGCAGCCATAAGGCATTTGCCACACTTCTCACAGACATCTAGCTATCAACTTTACACAGTGAAGCCTTGAACTGCACAGAAGATGCCTCTCAAGCTGTCAGTTTCTCAGATAAGTTCACACCCTGCCTTCTTGAGTAGCAGAGATGTGCCTCAATGCGCCTCTTCCCCCACACAGGATGTCACTGGTCTGGGGACTGTGTGCAGGGGCACAGCACTTGGTGAGCTGCAGTGTGCCTTCTGTTGTGATATGCTGTCCTGAGGGGAGCAATAACTCTCCTCCTTCTTCTTTGTGAGCTGGGGGTAATTCAATTGAAGATGATGTGGCTTCACACTTCAGTACACAGAGACTTCAGTGCACGGAGGGTAAAGTGTTCTTTTCTATCTCACAGTCAGATTAAGAGCAAAATCAGACAGAGCCCAAGGCCACATTCATGGGAAAGGCCAGTTTAGTCAGGGCAGCTGTGCTCCCAAGGCAGAGCTACTTTCACATCTGCTAAAATGACTTTCCAGGCCTGCTTGCTAGATTGCCCCAGCTGCCACAGAAACCAGGTGGTCAGCACTTTTCTCTCAAACACCTACAGAGCTCAGCCCCACGGAGAGGCCACTCCACCCATGCCCATGCTGTCAATGACAGCAACACATCACTGCTTTCTCTGAGTTTTCTAGTGTCATTTTCTTCAACACATTGTGTAAAAATAATCCAGAGACTGGACTTGTAATACTTGCACCTACTCAGAGAGGAGCCCACGACTGTAATTCCTGTGCATACCTGCCCTCTGCAAATCCCACACTGTTCCTATAAAGAACTGTGCACAGTGCTACCTTGCACTTCCCAGACTGCCAGCCATGAGCAAGAAACAAATATTTACATCAAATAACTATGCAAGTTCAAGAAGAAGACAAGAAAAAAAAACCAAACCCAAACAACCCAATAAACTTTTCCTGATCTCTCAGACTCATTCTTGTATTCTCCACAGGTATTTTCAGAAGAAACTCTGTGGTCAGAGCCTGGCTGTTTATCCTGGGGGCAGCACAAGGGAGAGGAGGCAGCTGCTCCCTGCTCCAGTTGCTGGCTATTAAGTAAACTGAGCAGAAAGAGTTTGATAATAAGTGGGAGGCAGATATGTGGCACCAAGGAGTCAGGTTTATGGTTGGCTTTCTGCGCATTCTAAAATACTCTGTGAAATTGATTTGTCATCAGGACGAGAGCCCGTGCTTGTCAGGTCTGTCAGTCTCAGTTTTCAGCTGAGTTATCTGATTCACTAGGGCTCCGTTCTCCCTGTCTTATTTAAGACCAATAATGCTTAAAATCCATCCCATAATCTTCCCAGGCTTTTAGTGGAACTGAAAAATGCAGAGGAGGGGAGGTCTGAAGAACCATGCCTTCCCTGTTAGCTTGTATGCACCTGTAAAAACAAAAGGACAAAAAACCAGAATATCCACAATTCTTACACAGACTCCATCAGTTTTTACTCTTATAACACTCCTATTCTTCTGGAAAATTTTGGACACAATGTCATTTCCTTTATGGTCTCCAAAATTCAGGTGCTTTCACACTTGAGCACAACTGTCTTGCCACATATAAAATCCTGTGTACCTGTGCTGCTGCAGTTCTATATGCGGATATGCAAATAAAGGCTTGAACACACACCAGGGTTTGCCTGATTTGCATGATTACGTGCATTTCTAAAAATGCAGTCCAGAGTCACCAAAGTTGAGCTTTACAGTAACTGAACTGAAGAAGGGCTGCTGCTGGGGGACAGCCTTCACCCAGCCAGTGCAAATGGAAACCAGCAAAGCTTCCAACCCATTCCTGGCAAAAGGTGCCCTGTATACACTTTGAAATTCCAGTAATGAGAAAATATGGGACAAGTAAAAGATAACAGTGAATTTCCATGGCCATGCCCAAGAATGAAAGCAAACCACAGGAACTCACAGACTGTCCTTGTGACCTGGGGGAAGGAACAGCAAATTCAGAGCTCTGTCCTCAGAGATCAAGAGTACATGTAAAAGGCAGGGATGGCTTCTTTTCCATCATGTGGAGACATGATGAGTCCTTGCTGACGCTTTTGCAAGAGAAAGGGGAAACTCAAGAAACAGAAGTCACATTTGGATGCTGTGTTTCAGCTGCTACTCTTCCAGGCTGGCTACAAAGCTCCTTTCTCCCCATTTTTCCCAAGGAAGCCAACAAACAGCATTGCAATCACAGGAAACAGGGAAGGAAATGCAATCCTCATGAGACACCATGTCACCAGGGATGACAGCCTGACCGTGGGAGTGCATAAGGCCATCACTCAGAACAAGTGACAGCTACTCCCCTGGGGAGACACACTTGGAGGCTTATGCTAGGTGACTATTAACTGCTATGTACCAGCCTCAAAATGTAGCTGGAGAACAGGTGCACATCTAATGACACACCTGCCTACCATGATCACTTGCTAGGACTACTAATAAGCACTGCCTTAAATGACCTGTGTACTGGCCACATAAACGTGTACGGAAAATGCATCTGCTGGGCAAGGGACATAGGTGTACGAAGACAGCTGTATTAGTGTGCAACACAAAACCAGAAAACTACAGGAACAGACAAATGCCTTTTGAAACTGCAATAATCACTTAGTGGAATATCCTTTGCACTGGGAAGATTTCCTAGGTCATACTCTGACACAGAGTTCAGGTCCAGCTCCATCTCCCTGTAGACTGTACACTGTGACACAAGATTTAGACCTCCTCTTGCACAATACCAGTCTTGCAGCACAAGTGCAACCACAGCAGAGCCCCATCTGAGTGCTGTGAGGCGTCACTATTTTCATACCACTCCTGTCGTGATCAGTGAATTAGTGCTTGATTCGCTTATGATGAGGTGGCGTGCACTTCATAATGCTCATGTCATGCACTGTCACGTCATGCACTGTCAAAACACATCAACAGAGCCTTCATGCTAAATGCCAGCTTGCCTGTGAAGGGAGCCCACGCAGAAGGAATTTACAGACACAGGCCCTTTCCATAAGCAACAGTTATTTTTTTAACAGTCCATGTAATTCACCCACAGCTAACGCAAGTGTCTTTCCAAGCATTAGGGACTCCCTTTTATAAATGGGGATACGGAGGAGCTGGCCAGATATTGAGAAATTTCCTTTTCTCCATTTTAAATCAATGTACCAGACTTAGCATCGTGTATACAGAAGAAAAAAACTACTTTGATGATTAAATGCACAGTAAGATTTAATGTTAAGCACTATGCTAATGTTAGTAGAATGCACTTAAATGCATATTTGATGCATTTAAAGGCATTTCTCTACAACTGCATTCAGCGACATACCACTGGAAGCACAGGACATGCTATGCACTACCACACTTCCATGCTTACACACAGGGACATTAACAAAAGCCATGCAGGACAATACCTTCAACTTTGACAAGTGTCCCAGTTCCTTAGCAGCACTGAAAATCAACTGTGTGCCCTATGGTTGCAGAAGTTAGAAAAGAAAGGAGGGGGGAAAAAAGGTTATAAACAAGCTTCACATATTTTTCCTTTGAGCAAGTTAAGTCAGTTCACGGCAACTTCACATAACCACCCCAAGGCCAGGCACAACAACTGGACTCTCCTTGCCAGTTTATTACCTAGTACAAACCCTGGCATTTCTGTGGATACCACATCAAGAGCTATTTCAGAGCACAATGTCTTTCTAACCAGCTCACTCTTGCTTAGTGAGCAACCACTCACTTACACAGGATGAACCTTCAAATGGATTGCACAGGGAGGGAGTGAAGGCCATCTCCAAACACTCCTCTAGATTTCATGTCTAAATACACACAAAGACTGCAAAGACTGGCCACAGCAAAAGATCATACAGCCCCAAGATGATGAGAATCTGTCCACAAAGGTAGGGCACAGCTGTCACGGTGGGGGTAAGCACAGATCAGATCATAAACAAAACTGGACCTCAGCTGTTCAGGGGTGAGAGATTGCCAAAGTCTTGTGAATAGTACAGCATCACCTTCAAATGTTCTAGAGTTTGGCCAATGGCTCTTCTTCCTGCACTGTGCCTTACTGAAGCTGTATAACCAATGAAGAAACACAAAGGGAAGGTGAACCCCAGTGACAGGAAATCTTGCTTCAAGGCACTTCATCAGCCTCACTCTAAAAAATCTCTTCCTTTTATCTAGCCTAAATCTACCCTCTTCTGGTTTAAAAGCTACATGATACCTATGTACCAACTCATTATTTAGGCATTTGGAAAATAAATGTTAACACATAAAATGTGTTTCAAATAGGTCAGGTTGCTCAGAGCCCCATCTAACCAAGGATGGGGCATGTTGCATAAGTACTGTTGGTTTCACGAACAAAAGGTCTCCAGTAAATCCAATTCTCTTTCCCTCTCCATTACTATCCTTTCTTATCTTAACAGTCCCTCCCACTTAACCACAACAGCCTTGACTACACCCCACCCCAAAAACCTCAAACTGTAATGAAGCAAGATGTAAACTCAGAATTATTATACTGCCCTTCTTCCCTGACAATGTCATTCAGCTTTCCTTTGCTGTCTTCCTGGGTATTTGTTCATTGCTCTTTAGGTCAGTACTCTGTGAAACAAGAACTATCTCACACAGGGATTTGCAGAGAAGACCCTGGGAACTGGCTACTACTGCAAAGATCACTGCTGAAATTTGGTTTTGTTTTTTTTTTAAGGATTAAAATGAACATCAGGCCCTCTAAAAGCTTCCCTTCAGCAAAAAATCTCTATACCTGTTGCCTGGGGTACCAGGAGAAAAACAGGCAGCTTATAGATGTGACACTAGAAAACTCGAGACTTGCTCTAGGGCAACTGGACACCCTCTGCTAATTACAACAGCAGCCCAGAACTGAATTTTTAAGGTGAGGAAAGGCTTTTTCTTTAGTTTTTCCAGCTTTGGAAATCTCTTCAAGCTGAAAGACTCTGTGACCTGAAACCACAGATCACATTTTGATTTGCTCTACTTGTAACCACCAGCTAACCCTCACTGTTCCTCAGTCTTTTATGTTTGTTGAATACAAACCAACACAGAATGAACATTACTGATTTTCTAGCTAAACAGAAGCTCTTGATAAATGATTACATTCTCAACTTTTGGTAGCGGTGGAGGGGAAAGTGCAGGCAAACACAATGAATCTACAAAGGAAAGCTCCTGAAATGAGAGGGAGAGCTTGTCTTGCTGTCAGTATCCAATAGGTAGTGTTGAAGAATACAACTCTCTAATCTGAAAAAGCACGAATTTCCATGTATTTTCAGCAAGGAGGGTTTCATTTGCCATGAAATTCTGTTGACTTTCAGGTTCTTAAAATTCAAGGTTTTGAATCCATTGACCATGCAGCAAACAAAAACGAAAACATTTCTGTATCTGGAATTTTGAAAAAGGGAGTAGTCTCAAAACACAGTAACATTAACGTTTCTTAATTCAGTATTTTCAGCATTCACAGCACACTTTTTTAATATACATTTGAACAACAACATTAACCAGCTCAGGCACATAACCTTCTTGCCTCAGGCTTCTAAGGAGGGCAGGTCAGTAACACTGAGCAATAGCTAGTGATGGGACATGCTTCATGGAACAAAGCTGCTCAGATAAATCCCAGTTTTTGCACGCTAAGAAAATCCTTGTCAATCAGGGACAATCTCTGTCAATGCATCTGCAAGAAGAAATTATTTTGCTGTTACACAGAGTTTGTCATCAGTGCTGGTAACATTTAATGAAAATCTGGACAGCTCCTTCCTCTGCCAAATGGCATTCTTGTAAACAAGATGCCATAATCCTCAGAGAAGTTATTTATGTGTGGAAAACATACCACAAAGCTCTACAGACAGCACTTATTCCAGTTGTGCCAGAGAGTGAGAACAACTGAACTTAAATCATCAGGTAGCTTTGAGAAAAGCTGCCCACAATGGAATTGGTTAAAATGTCAAGGATCGAATATGAGGACAAATTAAATCCTTATCATGAATCATGCCTAGCTCTGCAGCAAACACAGCTGGAAAGGGAATGGGCCTTCATGCTGGCTCTCCTCGCTCTTCCGTGACGTTAGCTGTACTTTCCTAAACTCTTCAGAAACAAGATTCACACCTATAGTCCACAACACAGAGATTTTACCTTCCTTGTTAAGGGTCTGATGCTTTTTTGTCCCTTCAGTGAAAGCATGCAGAGAAGGATCATCAGCTGACTCAAGTCTAATTGTTGGAAGTCAACAGAAGAGCAGTGATTTATACTCCGAGTGACTCAAACTCCCAAAGCTTAACTGTCCTACTGCTCAGCTGACAAAGTTAGGAAACAAAAGCTGACTGCAAGTGTTTTGGATTCCAGTCCTTTTTTGGAAACCGTATTATATGTGATGCTTATTTTTCTGAAACCTAACACTGAAAGGAAGTTCTGTCTCATACTGTAAATTTATTTCCCATATTTTTGTAATTCCTGTGTTCAACAACGAGATCTGATAATTTAACAGCATTTAAGTTCATTTTAAAAACTCTATTGTATCTGGCAATGTCTGTTAGCACACAATAAGATAAAACTATTTTTTAGTTGTTGTGGTGTATTAAACCACAAAAAATTGACAAAATAGGCTTAAAAGTGGGGATGAAAAGAGGAAAATAATTACCTGTCAGTACAGAGAACTAGGCACATATGCAGTTCACAGACCATAATTTTATTCAAGGCTAAGAAAGCTTTTTCTCCTCATCACAGAGGCAGCCTTCAACTTTTCTGCTCCAAGCTAGCACAAGGGAGAGGATTCATTTAAAATAACAGAAGTTCAGAAAGGTTTCAGAAAACCTCTTAAAGCCACACTCTCCTCCACACAGAGCAGCTCTGGAGCAGCTCAGGCAGACAAGCCTGAAAAATAGGCAGTCTGGAAGTCAAATGCAAATTCTGTCCTCAGCTTAAAGAAAATTTAGTTCTTATCCTGGAAGATGTTCTCATTTAGTAACAAGAAGTCTAACACATAGAAAAAAGCACTGCAGGAGCAAGCACAAACAGAGCCTCACGTGAATGGCTGCAGGGTACTGTGTGAAATAAATAAAGGAGAGGCTCCAGAGGAATCACCTGGGTGTAAACTAAGCACTTCTTCTCTCACCTGACTAGCCACTGATGGCGTGGTACAGTTTCATCGTAAGCAGTTGAGAAAGAAATCTATAACTATTCTGTTAATATCACCGAGCGTTGTGCACTGAACCCCAAAATACGGATTCCCAGAGCATATATCCACTCAACCAAGACAGAAGGTGTTTAATTACATGCTGGATCTTAAAATTAGTGAGGTGTGAAGTACTTGGTGAGTTACTGGGATCATATTGCTGCTAATCTCACAAGCCACAGGCAGAGAATGCTCAGAGAAGTCACTCATCTGAAAATCATGAAGGAGCCACAGATCAGGTCGTCAGAGTGGGAGGTTGTAAAACTGTCCTCACAGTGCTAACACTTTCTCAGCTGAGCCCCACAACACAGAATCTTCCAGAAGCTAATTTAAGTGGAATTGTTAAGTCTGGAGAGAGGTATTTAAGCACTGTGCAGTGGCAGGGTCATGCAAGTGACAGGCAAGGCAAACTGCAGGGTAACGGGAACCTTCTACCTGAGTGTGCTTTCCATGACCTCCAACAAAAAGACTTCTGCAACTCCAGCAGTTTTTCAGAAAGAAGAGAAAATATTGCATAAAATACATTCTTTTCCACCATTAATATCTCCTACTTCTTAAGGGCTGCACACGAGTTTTAGGATGGAAACCTCTGCCAGAGGTCTTTCAAACACAGAGAGGCACCACAAGGGCTTTCTGTTGCTGAGGGCTGGGAGGAAAGTGTGTTACAGTGCCTGAGGCTATTTGTGTCTGATGTGCTTTCAAAAAAAAAAAAAAAAGAAAAGAAAAAAAAATAAAGAAAAAAAAGAAAAAAAAAAGGCAAGCCAAATTAGATAAGAGAGGCTTGGCACAGAAATAGAATAGCAAAGAGAAAGTACTGCTTCTGCCCATGCTGAAGCCCCAAATTCTGCCTTGCCTTGCCCTGCTAGCCTTCACTGCTGAGAATAATGACAATCTGGTGGTGACAGAATAAATGGCTAGGCCCCAGAGAACAGTGGAAGCAGCTCTTTGTCCTTGCAGCTCATCCAGCCTCACCACCAGTTCCCTGCTCAAGGACTGCAGACAAGGCCATTTTAATCATTGCATTGCTCATAACTGTCCTTATGGAAGAGCAACTCATTTCCAGTTTAGACTAGTTCAGCCTCCTTGCTACCATACAACTAATTAGACACCAAGAAATCCAGCTATGAGTATTCTGTGTTATCTCAGACAGGAGAGTATATACTTCAATTTGCTTCTCCATTTGAAACTGAAATGATGGCAACTATGAAGAAACCTTTAAGTGGCTTATAGCAATATCCTGCAGGTTGGAAGAATTGGCTGATCACAGTTATTGCATCCTTCATGATACAAGTACTGAATCACTCTCCTACTCTGCCTTTGAAATCCAAAACTAGCAAGTATAAAGCTCAAACAGCTCCTCCCTAGTTCTCTCTGAGGCCCTTGATCTCACTGATTCCATTCCAAATGGGTCATGTTAATGCTGCTTCTACATGATGATTTTAGCACCTGCCCCAAAAGACTCCTTTTTAAAGGCAATTCAACCAAGACAAAGAAATTTTGCCTTCCTAAATTTGTTTTCTTTTTCTTCTTTACAAATCATAAAGGCAAGCAGAAATGATTACTCCAAATCTGAGCTCAGAGAAAGCAGTCTTTAGCAAATATACCTCATGCAAATTTCATGGTTGTAGGTATAACAGTGCACTTCATCCAACAGTTTTATTTAAAATCATCATCATCATCATCAAGGCCAGAGACAAGGGCCTTCTCTCTCAGAGCAAGAAACACCTGTAGCAAGAGGCAGGTTTGCATCACTTCCCTGGACACTGCAACCCAAGAATCCCAGTCCAGATATGTGAGGGAACTGCTGAATAGTGAAAACCACTATTGTTCTAACCACCAGGAGGAGAAAAGTAAGGCTGCATAACTGAGCTACAGACTGCAAGTTCACTCTAACAGCAAGATGAAAAGAAGTTCTGGATCATCTGTAAATAATGAGGATACAGCCCAAACTTCACACTGCCTCCAACTGAGTGTCATCCCCCAGAGCAGCTAGGCATGCATGACTGATATTTAATCAGTTTCTCTGGTTTCTCAGAACTGAGGAAGAGTTAATCTTCCATTGTTAAAAGCATCACTACATTCACAACACACATTCATCCAGCATGCTCACACAGCTGAACAATCATACAAAAGACTACCTTTGAAGAAAAACTATCTGGACTCATTTCCAACTCCCCAGCATCACAGAGCAATCCTGCCAGCCAATGCTGGTGTTAAAGCCTTCTGCAGGGGGTAAAATGGGGGAATGGTTGATTAAAAAAATCAAGCTCAAATCAACAACATTTATCTAGAGAGACACTCTGGCTGACAGATGATAGGGCAAAAGTGGCTACAGGTCATGACCTAAGGCCATGAAGCCTAACTGATCCATAATTCCCACATACACAGACAGCTCTCCTTGCAGGACTGCAAAACACTAATCAGTGCAAACTGATACACTGGACAGAAACTCCTTTTGGATCATGGATTTTGAATTGTGGTTGTTTTCTAGAGCGTGCTCTGTATCTTGAAACCCTACCATAAATAGAGATGCTCCCTTTCTTTACCAACTTAGAGACATGTTTTTCTATCCTCAGGCAGGCTACATGCAGACAAATTTACCTGGATGGATGACTCACTAGGTCAGGGGGATGAGTTACACAGGCAATGGCAACACTTTCTGGTATGAGTCAGGAAGGATAAAAAGCTTTACCGTATGGTCTGTAAGAGGAGGCAGCACAATCAGCTTCTCCATGGTGTTCATTACCACCCTCCAGAGCTCTTTCAGCACCCGTTTCAACACTGTCTTTTCACACACAGTTGCAAACAGTGTCAGGCTGCAGGGAGAGAGCAAGAACTTAGTAACTTCAAAGAGCACAATACACAATGAAAAAGGAGCTGCATATGGAAAATTCAGTGCCCTATCCAAAGCAGTTTCTCATAACAATTGCTTTAAGGGTAAAAAATCTTCCCTTTTCTAAAGCATAGAATGTGTGCTCACTGTTGGGAGTTCTAGCACTAAAAACACTAAAACCACAAAATGGATGATTGACTTTTCTGATCTCAATAATTTCTCTTAATTGACCTGGGGATTACAAAAGGTGTCAGTTGGTGATAGGCAGTTTGGAATAATACATATGATCCAAATAATAGCAGGTACCATTGAACAGGTACCTTTAAGAAGACGCATTTGGTTTATAGAGTATACAGAAAAAATTATAAATACAGAATAATAGGTTTTAAGCTTCAAGGAGTCACTATAATGATTTTTGATGAATACCTAAATTAACACTTCCCAGAGTGTTGTGCAGAAATTCCTGCATAGCTTCTGAAAGCTGCTGAAGTTAGCTAAATCTTTCACCTCTACAACCACCCCAAAATATTTCTCTGACAACTCCATATTTTGTCATGACTGCATTCATCGATCACCTGCCATGTGTTTATCTGCTCTAACACAAGGAGCTTTATTTTCCTAGGTTTTATTCCTTTATTATTGTACAGGCTATAAAAAAGGCCAAGAGTGCTAGAATCGTCTTTGAAACATTTGCTGGAGTTCAGCATTTACTGATCACACTGTGAACAGGAACTCTGTGGCCAGTACCACGACTCTTCTGCATTGTGTAACATCGCCCAACTTCCCTTCTTCCCACAGCTGGTTAAACAGTAAATGAACAAAACAAACACGGACAGGACTGACATGGGTGGGGTGCAGAAGGCACTAAAAAGATACTCTCCTTCTGTAAAGGAGAGAAGAAATTAATCCAAGTGTGGATTATCATAATCAAAGTTATTCGCTCCACAGCTGGATGGCTGTAGCATACCACGTTCCCAATGGTGCAAAGGAATATAGCTTTTCAGGATTCATGAAGTCATGCACAGAAAATGATCAAATGAGAAGGCTCCTACATGTAATGACTGCTGCAGAGAGTCATTTAGAACACAGTGACCCAAAAGAAAGATGGGATAATCAACACTAAGAGCAACCAAACACCCTATGTTTTAAACTTGTAAAGCTTCATATCTCTTGCAGCATTTATTGTGAAAATTGCTGGTCATCCTTTACTAAATGAAGAACTGATGTGTATCAGCATTAAGTTTAACTTGTACAAATATTAAAAACTGTTTCTCTTTGCAGTTCAAGACTTGGCTTGAACATTTAACTCTCCTTGTCTGGCTGAATCATGTTGCATGGTATTAATGCACAAGTTCATTAAAGCAATGGATCGACCATGTTCACATCCCATCGTTTCAGAAGCTTATTTGCTAGTCAGAACAGCAGCAGGTACGACTAGAACACACGTTTGACAGGACTGTGATACTGAGCAGAATATGTATCAGGTACATAAGCACTTTTTGCAATATGCTTGCTAACTGGATACAGCAAAACCTCTATAGGAAAAAACCCACAGCTAGAAAATTTAGATTTTCAGTCTTTTTCACTGCTTGATCAGCAATGTGTTTTGCTGATTGCTATAATTGCCAGAGGTAGAAAGAAGAACTGAGAGTGTGCTTTGGCACTGAATGAAGGCTGAAGAGCCCATCCATGGTTTGCAAGAAGCAGATATGGGAAGAAAAGCTATTAATTCTTCTTGAAAATTTGGAGACTGGAAATCTTAGCAACAATCCAAGAGCATGGAGCTATTTTCCCCTCTGCCTCATTCTTGTTCCAATCCAATGAACTATATGTGTAGCATATATTCGAACACTCCCTTACTTTCCATCCAGGAAGTCCATCAGTGGCCTCAGAACATTATCTGCATCTTGTGCAACTGTGTTTCTGGCATTAGCAGCAGAATTTGCTGTCCCTTTCACTTGACAGAGGATATCAGACATTTGCTTGACACACTCATCAATCCGAGTCTGAAAGCTGCACAGATAGGAGAGAGGCAAAAACAATATTGTTAGTGGCAGAAATACAAAGTAAAAAATTTCAAGTTCTCTCAGTTTCACATTTTTCTTTCACAAGACTTGCTGCTTTTTTCCTTACTGTATTTGTTACCAAGGGGCATGCTCTCCAGTTCCTTATGCCTGCCACCTGCACACAGCTGACCACCTCTAAACACGAGATACAAGCATATTTGAGAGAAGTTTGTTCATTCATCTTGCAGCAAGAAACGATCCTTTTCTGACTTCAAGAAATGCTGTTATCCCTAGCTCAAAGCACCATGCTGTACCCTTTGCTTTCTCCACCACAGAGACTGGAATACCACATGGAGCGATGACACAATGCATGCCACACTCTGAGCACCCAGGAGTCCATCAGCAGAAATCATGTTATGACCCATCATAGCTTGAGTCTTTAAAATAACAGAGAGAGCCTGAAGGCAGGCACCAGCTTAAACCAGTCCATGCCAAGTGTCAAATTGGGATGTGGGGCTCAGCTGTGCAAAGTGCACTCTCCCTGTAACGAAGTGATACACAAAGCATTAAAACACAATTACTTTTCCACCTCTTCCTGCTAAGAGGAGATTCAAAATTAAATAATGCAGTGATTAAAAATTATGAATAGATCAGCAGAGCTGACAACTAATCAATTCAGCAAATAAAGGAAAATGCTTTGACATTTAAAAGAACAGTTACTAACAACAGGCACTACAAGTGACATTTAACTATTCATTAATGGCACAGAGGCTTGAAACCAGGAGGAGAAGCCAGTGTTGGGAGCTAGGGTAAAGATTTAAGAGGAAGTACAAAAGTTTGGAAGTCAGCTTTACATCTGCATAAACAACCTGAACTTCTACAGGCAAGCCACCAGCACACCTGTGGGTTGGGTGTGAGCGTCCCATGGCTCTCACCTTCCTTCTCCACCTGGTCACCTTTCCTGCTCTGTCACTTCTACCCTCATGGTCCTTCTTGCTCAATTCTAGCCTGCCTCTCACTGGCAAAATTCCAGAGCTGTCTCCCACCAGCCCTATTTCTAGCAGAAAGAGTCCTGCACCACTCATTTGTGGCTGCAATGTCAGCTTAATCAGAGACCTAAGCCACATCAAATAAAAGAGCATAAAAAATTTCCCATTCCATTAACAGTTCCTCTTCTGTCACAGCCCAATCCCACCCCACAGTTCTCTCACTGCTTCATCAATTTCAGGACCTTGCTTCAAGATGCTTTAAACCCCCCAGGTCAAGGATAGAAAATAACAATGCCCTCATGGATAAAATGTAATATGAGTCAAAATGGTTGGCAATTTTATGAAAAATAACAGATCAGTTACTGTGGCAACAGGTTACCTGAAAGTGAAGCTTGTGTAGATGTACAGCTTAACAGAAGCCCATGGCAGCAGCAAGCTAAAAAAAACAACTTCACCTATCCTGTCATACGAGGCCTGCTGCTCCCTAATTCCTCCAGGAATTCCTTCCTTCACTCTTACAGCCTCCAAGAACAAAACAGCAGCTAGCCTTGTACGAAGGATAAACCCTTCCAAGACTTATCTCCTCTCAAAGTAGAAAATGCTTCTCTGTCCGGACAAAATCCTCTCTCAGCACAAGGGTAGTGAGGCTCTCTGGACAGGTGCTGCCTTCTCATCAAATACAGTTAATCTCACACAGATGAAGAAGAGTTAAGATCGGCAGTGTCAGGTGTGCACAGAGGTGAAAGAGCAACTGTTAACAGACTCTGCACAAAATATTGTGGATATCAGCTTTATCTCCTAAGTTCATATCCTTTAGGAGATCACACTTATATAGTGAACTGCAGCTCTGCTTTTCACTCTCTAAGATTGTTAAAGGAGTAAATTAAGCACCTGAGACATGTGACTGGCTGGATCTCTGGCTGGCTCATCTTTCTAAAACACTCCCCAGTATGTATGCTGATACTGGATAATCTCTTTAAATCACATTATCACATGCCAAGATTGTCCCCAAATTGTTTTGTAGCAATGGCACCATGGAGACAATATTCAGATTAAAAAAATTCACCTCCCTAATCATTATTTCTTGGTCACTCTCTGCCTAATTATGAACTTTTCTGATTCCATTCAGTTACAGTTTGAATCTTTTCATTTCTTGCTGCAGCATCCATTACTGGCCATGGGAATTGCTCACTTATCTTCCTTGCTTAGCTTTGTGTGGTGAAATTCAAACAGTCTTTGACAAATTTGACTGCGATTTTTTAGCCATAAGATTTGCAAACCTGTCAACCCCAGGAGGCCAAGTTGGTGCAATTTTCTCTGCCTAGCCCATGTTCAAGCTACACTACAGTTCATGCCTGCATTAATCTTGTTATGCAGCGCAATATGAAATGAATGGGGTTTGTAATGGGAAGTAACTGTTTTCAAAGATCAGTCAGGAGTTCTGTATTTTAGATTTCACTTAACTGACATGCTGTATAGTTCACTACAAAAGTCTTATAAATTTGAGCACATTTTTATCCTGAAATGAATCGGGAAAGAATTTTTATTGGAAAATGAAAACATGATTTGTAATAAAATCTAATTGCCATAAATTACTCTGGATCTTGTTATGCAGCGCAATATGAAATGAATGGGGTTTGTAATGGGAAGTAACTGTTTTCAAAGATCAGTCAGGAGTTCTGTATTTTAGATTTCACTTAACTGACATGCTGTATAGTTCACTACAAAAGTCTTATAAATTTGAGCACATTTTTATCCTGAAATGAATCGGGAAAGAATTTTTATCGGGAAATGAAAACATGATTTGTAATAAAACCTAATTGCCATAAATTACTCTGGCCAATACTTTAAAGAGCTCTCTGAAACACTAGATAACATTTGCAGAAGATTTACAACAGGTCAATCGCAGATTCTAAACCTGTTTCCTTCTTATTCCAGTATTCACTAACAATCAGAAATCAGTCATACATTTAGAGCAGAATGTTTAAACAAGAATGTTGCTTCACAAACGCTAAGCTGGAAAATGTTTTTGAGCAGTAAAGGAGCAGGAAATTCTGTTACTGACAAGAACTACTTACTGAAAAAAAAAAAAAACCACTCTGTGTAATTCAAATACATTTCACAGTTGAGAAATCTCCGTGCTACATTTCCGAGCAGAGAAATACAGAAGAGAAAGACTTTAAAAATGTTTCTCACTTCTATAGATGGTCTCTGTATATTAAAGGCCATACATTTAGGACAAAAAGAAAAATATAATGCCATTCACAGGAGTTTCTTTTCTTTTGTAACCTGAGTAAATGAGATTAGACAAAAGAAAGGAATGCTTCAAGGACAAGGACCTTCTAGTACTGACCTGTTACCGAACACTGCACTGAGCTCATCCAAAACATTGTTCAGCTTCACCTGGAGCTCTTTGAGATGGTCACTTGCTTCTGCATCCAGCTGTGGATGAAAAAAAAAGCATTTAAGTTTGAACCCAGAGGGCAGTCCACTGTCCTCTGCAGTGCTTCTCTTCACTGTTGAGGCTACACTTAGTAAGCAGGTGAACTATCCCCACTGGACTTAGCCAGGTAGGATGCTCTCCTCCACTGCCTGCTGCTGCTGCTACAGAAGCTGTGAAACAGTCAGCAGGTATTTGCCTAAAAAGCAGCAAGTAGTTTCCCCAGGCTCCTATAACCCTTCAATACCCTTCCTGATGTTTGTGAAGTTGACCAAGAAAGGGAATTGTGAACTCCCTGTGGCCAAGAGTGCATCTAGGGCTGTGAATCCATCAAGTACTGTGCTTTACCCTGGGCTCACAGGTCATGTCACCCCTCTGAGTCTAGTAGGACACAGGGCTTTTCAGACTGGTTGTTACTACTAATGTTCATGCATTTCTCCATATATGATCTTGAAAGAAGCTATTTCACCTTCCCTGCTGCCATCAAGTATTTTAACTGAAGATTGACTCAGTCACTGCTTTCAGAAGACTGGACCCCAGCTGTTTTGAAAATCTGGCCACAATATCATGGCAGGAGCTGTTGTGCACTTTTGTCAATCATATTTGGAAAGTAAAATCTCAGCTACAGGTATTGAGCAAATATAGCTCTCTGCTCTCACGTGGAACCAGACAGCTTTTTGTATACAAGTGTTCAGAGGAAAAAAAAAAAGTTCCCCAAGCACTACATGAATGATGTTGACACCTTGGCAGGTTCTGAAAGGAAGTGCTTCCTCCATTCTTATCAGTGCAAAGCCACCTGTTTTTAAATTGAACATGATTTACAGAGTTTTGTGCTCCAGCTACCGTCAACCCCTCCAGCCTCAAACAAGCCACTTCTGAGCAACATACCTGTGTGTATACATAGCAACACAGGATTAATGCTTTGGCATCATTTGCTCATAAAAAGTAACTTGTAAAACAGATTTGCCTGTGTATGCAGGCAGGCAAAATGTCTGTAAAACAAAAAGCTTCCTCTAAGGCAGAGCATCTCTTTAGGAATGCAATGAGCCAGGTACCGGTACCATGGTTAAAAACCAGTTTAGACTTGTATGGTGTATCCATCTATACAGGATTTGAACACAACAGGAGTTCCCACCTCTAAAACCAGGGCTGAAGCCATCTTCATATTGCTTCAGCATCTGTCAGGGAAAGCCAAGCCTTAGGGGATTTGGAATATGATCTGCTCATTTTCCTGCTGTAAGCTGGCATGGAAAATTGACTCTATTATGCATTTGAACCTGTGCTAATGAAACTTCTGGATCAGAATTTTAAAAGTAATTAAAGTTAAGAACCAACAATCAAGCAAATGATGATTACTTAGGCCTTGTAACTTTAGGCATTGCTGCCTCTGATTATTTTTCCCTTATTAAAGTAAATTTCTTTTCCTATCATCTTTGTAACACTCTTGCTCTGTGATGGCAGAAGGAAGCTAATGTCATGACAATCAGCATTCATTCTAGCCAAGCTTGTAGGTAACAAAATAAAAACAGCATTTGGTGGTGGTGGTTTCTCTTGCCCCTACATTAATCCTTCCCTCCTACTGCGTAAAGGCACAATGAGTCACAAGCTGCCTGATTTGCTCTGCTATTAATGGCACTGAATTGCCCTCTGATTTCAGCCATTTCTGACAGATTTGAGGTAGGACCAGCTCATGATTCATCAAAACATTTCAATTAACTGCTTTTCCAGTCAGGGAAAAAAAAAGCTTCAGAATTTGGTACAAGACAATTATTCTTCACTATTTACTTCTACTTCTTTATAAGCTATCAGATGCACAGCCTAGAGGATGTTTGAGGTCAGGATCAACAACTTCTTGCCCTGATTCATTAACTATGCAATCAACGATTTATTTTACTGTGAGGTGGCCTGGAGAGTTCCCTGGCTACCTCTAAGCTTTCCCCTCACTGCTGTATTTCACTGCAAACTGATCTTCCTCATTGCAAATGCATTGTTGTTCCAGTACTGCAAGAAGAGACAGCTGACACAATGCTTTGCTGAGCTCCATTATCTGTGGTAAAGAACAAGAGCTCACACACACAGCTCTCTGGGTACAATTGGCAAGACAGCTGCCCACATCTAACTTTGAGGTGCCCAGCCTCATCGTCAGGAAGCCAAACCCTGGTAGTAAGCATTCTGGTTCAGCATCCACAAGGACCCTGTCCTGCTATAAAAGCTGTTGTTTTCTGAGCAACTGCTACTAGGGAACAAGGACTCCACATAACACGTTACTGATGGTAAATGCTTAGGCACCAGCCTGCTTTGGCTCAAAAGCAAAGTCTGGGGAATTATCTGAGTGTAATGTAAGTTCATTAGGAAGGTGCTGGTAGGTGTGTACTGCTGTTTCCCATACATAAATCATATGTCAGTTACAGAGTACCGCAGCATGTGGGTATTAACTACAAACTTGGCCAATGTGGTGAAGCACTGATAAGAGTGCTTAAATGAACCCACAACGGTGTTGCTGTTGCTGCTCAGTCAATGAATTTTAAGCATATCAGCTATCACTGATAGCAGGAAATGCTACTTGGACTGCATGATAAATCTGGCTGGTATAGCAGAAAACAGGATTAGGCAGCAGGGTCACTGCCACATGTCGTATCCACACCATTTCTCTCAGCAGGCTTATGATCTCCGTTCTGTAGGTATATGACAGATAATTCAGAGGAAGAATGAAAAGTTCTCTGTGCAAAACATGGGACAGTAGCCACACTGAGGTGGCTTCTGATCTCTGAGCAAATGTTTCAATTCCAGTGGAAATAATGGCTGACATAGCTACAGTTCTGTGTCTGAGGCTAAATGTGTGATGCTGAAAACTGAGGTGGAAAGAGGGAAAAGTTAATCCCGTATTTAAATTGCAGAGGAGAAGTCAAGCCTCTGTTAATCTTCTGAAACTATCTGGGACTTGGCTTTTCAGAGAATCTGGGTCTCAAAGTATCATCTGAACCCATTTAGGGCTGGAACCTCAAGTCCTCTTCTCATCTGAATGGTGGCATTTATATCTAAGTGCTAGAAACTTGAATTTAGGATAATCTTCTCGTCCTTTCTTCATTCATGAAACAGAACTCCTGAGCCTAAGAATTTGCAGTGATGGGCTTCCAAGTTTTCCAGGAAATGGAATTAGTTCTTCTTTGGTTTCCACACACACTGGTGAAGTGTGAGTGGCCGGAACTGGAAGGCTTCTCTGTAGGTGGTGTAGGTGGAGAGACATGACTCTTGCCTCCTAGAAAGCTAAAGAAGTTAATTAATTCCCATCTATAAAAGGCAGAGACTTTGTGAAATCATCAGGTCTGATCTGCCATATCAGCAACTGAAGAATTATGCCCTGCTAACTTATTTTAGCTTTAGCAAGTTATGGAGTTCATCTGACTCCAGTTTGAAGCTGCTGATTTTTGGTCTGCCTCCCTCCACTAGCCCCTGGGAGCTCACAGCAGATGCGACCCCCTTTTAAGGACATGCACTGAATTTTCAGGCATCTCCCCACTTTCCTATAGGATTCTTACTCTTCAAGAGTAAGAAACATGCAGCACTGAATCCAAACAATAGCTGCCAACTTCTCAAACACTAGGGCAGCCTTAGCTATGGCATGTGGGATGCTAAAGAGGAGCAAATACTAGATATCACAAATCCTTTGAGCATATTTCTATGTAAGTCTTGGCTGTTTCTAAGCTGTCCTGCAATTTGTTATTCAGATGGCTAACTTAGGATGTAAAATGTAGGCTAACCCTGGCACAGCATTAAGAGAAGAGTTTCCTGAAGCTTTAATTGTGAAGATTAGCTTGAAACCAAAGGCATGAAAAATTGCACGATGACAATATGCTGCTGCTCAGCAGCTAATTCCTTGGGTTCTCTAGGCAGTGCTTGTCTCTGATACTCACCTCACATGCTTCTCTGGGGGAAAAAAGGTGTAGAAATGTTTTAAACTAGTCTTTCACACTACATCTAGATTCCAGCAGTGTGCAATGCAGTATAGCACCTTTTAATTTCACTGCCACGAGTTCACTCATGAAAAGCTAAGCAAAATTATGGACTGCAGGCTGAAGTCTGCTGGAAAACCACAGAGGTGGGCAGAAAATGCAAGTCATGTTAGGTTTTATTAGGTAAAGTATGAATAATTAAATAAATAGGGCCAAGTTCAGGCAAACACTACCACTGAATATGTGTAGCCCATCCCAGCAGAGACCTAAATTATAATCTCTGCTCTGCTGCTGTACTGGAGATGGTTCAGAGAAATAAAAGGTTTCAAAAGATATCCAGGACTCACCCCCCCAGTTTCACACTATTCATTATGCTTTTAATGCTATCTGCCACTTCATAAACACTGCCTTTCCAAAACGTGCCTCTGGGATGTCTGAGAATGCTCCTGAGTCATGATGAAGCTGTTTTGATCCCATGAGATCAATACAGCTCAGAAGGGAAATAAAAGCATCAATTCTAATTCCTAAAATTTATTTAAGGTACTTTTCTCTGTGTATGCATGTGTGTTTATGTGTATATATATTTGCCTTGACCCAAGGGAATCCCTCCAAACAGAGCTCTCAAAAGCTCTGCTACTGTGCTTACTGTTTCTGACTAGTAATGTTCACAGACCACATGATGCTGACACAATAAACCCAGAGATGCTGGACAATTTTTGCCCTGTTTTGAGAACTACAGTTCAGAAAAGAGTAAGAAAAGTGAGGAGAAAAGGCACTATAACTCACTGGAGGCAGTGGGTGGAGGAGAGAGTAAAGAAAGGCACTATGTCCAAGGGCCCAATCTCAATAAATAGCATTGGGCAAGCACTTCTGTTCAATATTACACCACTACACCTGGAGGGTGACCACAGGTGAGCCCTGTCCCTTCATTTCCCTCACTGCAAAAGGGAGCAAGTGACCTGAGTTTCCCTAAGGGTGTGTTCTGACCCACTGGCAAAGAACACCACGTAACAGCCGTATGTCGGAGCTTTCCAGAGTTGTGCAGTGCTACAGCTACAGCTGCAGATCGAGATGGATCTGGGAATCAGAAGCAGATGAAGCCACAAGCACATGGTAACTGAAACCAGTCCCAAGGTCTGGCTGCACACGTGGCACAAGTAACATACCTGTCACAGGAACAACGGAATATTTGGTACCTGGCTCTCAAGAACACCTCTGAGAATCCAAGAAGTAGAACAGTTCAAGATCAGGGCATACCACTATGCTAGTTTCTTACTCTCCCAAGGAAGTTTTTTTAGATAGAGCTGTCAGGATAATGCTTACTTTTGTGCAAGCTACTGTGTCATGGATAGATGACTATAGAACAAATCTGCCACAGAAACTGAGAACTGTCCTTCCTGAAGGAGGATAGAACCCACAGATGCATTTCCAGTAAGTTCTATTGTCAAAACTGTTGTCTCACCTATTGTTACCCAATTGTCAGGTTCAATCTGCAGCCAAAAGAATATGCAAACTAGGACAAGACCTTGTTTACTCAAGCAAAACAGAGAACCTGGCAGTTTTTGAGTCAAGAAGCGATGTACTACACAGTCACCAAGCGGGAAACCCCTGGGGACAGCAGATAATGCAGGCACCTAACACAACACAATTTATTTCTGGTGATCAGTGGCAGCCATATGAAGTGCAATAAGCACCATTTGAAAAGAAAATGGAAAAAAAAAAAACAAACCAACAAAAGATTCCCAGCTTCTTAGTGTGTTTGCCACATTTCTTCCTGTTTTACTCTTCACAGTCTGGGTTTCTCTCCCCTTCCAGTCTTTTGATTCCATAATACAGGGGAAATAGTGGGTTCACTACCCCTTTTTAACCTTATTTACACCTCCCGTGGAAGGTTTTAGAGGGCAGAATGCAGAGAAGAGATTTAGTCTAGGGAAAGTAGCCAATAACCTCAAGAAACACCTTTTTACCATATTTATTTAATACAGTATCAAGGGATACTTTCAATTTTAAATATAGGGAAACCCTACTTAATGGCTACCACTACAGAAAGCAGTAGAAAACCGATTCCTTAAGGGAAATTATAAGCACAGGCATTAAATTTTTATAGGCCACATCACAAACATTTTATCACAAGTTTATTTTTATCCAAAAATGAGTATTTAGCTACTGCTGCTATTACCGCAGGAAGCATATAATGCTAGTTCTTGATGCAGGACTCAGAAATTAGGATTATTGAGGTGACATGTGAAAGAATGACAGCAGTTTTCCTTGCCTCATGGGGTAAATCTAGTTGTTGAGATTTTTGCCACTTCACAGAATTCTGCCACTGAGCACAAGAAAGATTTAGAAAAGCAATACAGGCAAAAACTGAGCTGTCCATCAGCAAAGCTGACTTTTCTCTTGGCATACAGGTCATAGCACAGATTCTATCGCAACACAACCAAAGAAAATGCACTTGAAAATAATTTTTCCTAACATCAGCATCAGCAGGCTTTTCTTCATCTTCCTGAATCTTGAAAAGCAATGAAAAAAGAAGAGAAAAAAATATACTTATATTACATCAGAACAAAACCAGTGACCTGGAGGAGTAAAACATTATTTCTCTAAAAATTACCATCTCATAACAAATGGACACATCTGAATATCCCTCGAAACACAAGCAGAGAACTTATTTGCATATCTGTAATGTATTAGATACTGGACATTTCATGCTAAAGGCACTGTCCCACATTTATATATGACATATAAAATGATTCAATGCCCACAGTACTGAGACCTCCACCACCCACACCCATGTGAGCACAATAGCCAATCTTTTCTCTCCTTTTCTATGATATTCTGTGCTCCAAAACGTTTGCTTCTGCATTTGATGACAGATTTCATTGGGAAGCCTTCAGTCATGGCTATCTCCCGACACTTACAGTGCCAGGTGTCACAAGGCTCTTCTCATGACTGCAGTATTCAAGAACAAATATGATGCAAACAACCCATCAACAACAGTGCAGGAGGAATGAGGATAACACTCAGACTCTGAGCTCTCTCACCTCTTTACCACCCATGGCTTCAAACATCTTCTCCAGCTGCACCCGCAGTTGTTGGATGTTGTTCATCAGGATGCAAGGCTGAAGGGACAAAAGCAGGTGACTGCTCAGGATGCCAACACACTGTCACCAGTGGGAGACTTTGTGCCTCAACACCCTTCCCCAGGTACCACCAGATCAGAGAGTTACATAGGAGGCATGGTATGCACAGATTTCAGCACTCAAATATATATAAAAAATTATTTTAAAGAAAAATAAATCACTTTTCTCCAGCTTGAAATGGTATGGTCAGTTCCCAGTTGCAGAATACCCAGATGAACAGACCTCTCTAAGTACCAGATATACCGAGCAATCGTGCCCACTTTTGCTTTTTTTAAATCACAAAACAAAGTCAGTGTGGAAGTTAATTTCAAGGGGACCCGACAGCCTCCAAACCCTGCATTTCATCTTCAGGACCTGTTTTTATTTTAGGTACAAGCCAGAATTCAAACTTCAAAGGCATCCAAATGATGATAAAAAACAACACTGAAAATATCTACACCATCACCATGGTCAGGTGCAGTGTGAGTCTGGTCTCATCAGGACAATTACATGATTCTCTGGGGGAAAAGTGAAGCTCAGCATTAACTCACCAATTTCTCCTTGGAACAGTAGGACTCAAAGCTCTTGGAGAGTATGTCAGCATACTGCATCAGCACTTTCCCAATAGTCTGTGAAGACAAGACGTGAGCACTGTTACTTGTCCTCTACCACGGCAGAACTCCAGGAAGCAAGAAAAAAAAATTGTACTGTCTTACACCCCATTAAGAAAAGATAAACATCTGGATGCTAAGGGTATTACCTTTGCAAACCTCCTATTGTAGTGGGCAACAATGACAGGGTCTGGGCACTCCAGCTTCTTAATGATTTCAAAGCTCTGGTTGAGCTGAGTGAACACATCCACCACTGAGCAAGAGAACAGAGCATGCTCGGATGTTTGCTGGAACTGAAACAGAGTACAAAGAGTCATTGTCAAATGGAAATATACCCACCCATGGATGCTCCCATCATCTGTCATACTGAAGGCATTAGACAAAAACTCTTCAAAATTAGACCTAGAGGAGAGAAATAGCCTTTTCTGGTTGGATTATAAATTTACTGTCCTTCACTAACTATAATCATGACAAGCACCAGGGAAATGTATGATGATGCTGAGATCCTTAATGCAATGCATGGTTTGTCTGCCAGTTAATGAGGAAAGAAGGAGAGAATAAAGAAGTATTTTAATTTTTTTTTAAGATTTAGCTATTAAACAGAATGTTGCGTGAGTGTCACAGACTACAGTGCCAACAGTCACTGAGTAACTGGAAAGCTCTTCTCTCCATTGGCAACACTCAGCAAATTAAGAGTAAGATTGGTCTGTCAGTGGATTAAGGTCACATTCTCACTGCATGACTAAGTACATGCTAAGTGCCTCAATTTTCAATTTCAATTACTTCTCCCTAACAGAGAGAGCTGAGAGAGCACCAAACCACTGGCTGACAGATTAACAGCAGCAGAACAGACAAAAATGAATGATACGCACCTTGCTATTAAAAAGTTCTCTGTGACCTGTAAAGTACTACAATAAATGAGTTTTTCAGTTGTTTAGCAAGCAAAAAGGACTACATTCTCCATTTATAAGACAGCTGAATTTATTTGGTTTTATTTGGTTCTGTGCACTGTATGATGTAGCACCAAGTAGTAACCTACATACCCCATCTTTTTTATCTCTCTCCAGAGCACCATGCAGGAAATCTAAGGAAACATCTTCATTTTCATCCAGCCACTGCATCACAAACTGCTCAAACCACCTGCAGGGGAGCAAAGACAGCAAGTTACAGCAGGAAGGGGAGCACTCCAACCCCAGCAAACCTCGTGAAAGCTGTCAGATGTCTGAATGCTGCTGTCCATGCATGCACTCACACCTCTACACAAGCTAACAGGGCCTGTACCATCACTTGGGCTGGTTCTGAGCTGCTTTTGTCCTTCCTGTCTTTTCTCTTCTTGGTATCTTCCCCTTTACCCCCCTTGAGAGCCACCTTTAACTTTGCTTCACCTCAAAGCACTTTGTCATGTTTTTCCATTCCATCCACATGCCACAGAGTACAAGGAAGACCTCCAGACCCACAGGCATCTGTCCTGCTGCTCACTTGGGTGTACCAAAAAGGCAGTGTGAAAACAGGCAAGCTGAGAAGCAGCTTCAGTGATGGGATCTGACAGCTGGTCGCTCTGTCCTCTGCTCCAAGGAACACACACAGCACAAAAGGGTGTGTGTGTGTTTTTGTTGCCTGTGTTTAAGCAGTAACATAGCACTTACAGCCTTATTGAAATGTCTGTCTAGAGTTTGTTGCAGGCAAGTGCCAACACAGCACAGCTGAAGCAAATCTTAATTTCAAATATTACTAAACACCATTCACAAACAAGAGAAAGAAGTGTCCATGTGTAGTTCAGTCCAAACAAAAGATTATTATATGAGCTTTAGAGAATGCAGCCTTCTCTACACAGGCAGCTGTGATCATAGAGATTGTACTAATTGTGGGCTGAGTTTGCAAAGAACATGAAAGCATGTGCCAGACATGAGAGGGAGATCAAGAGCAAATGCACATGCAGAGCATACTAGATAGCCTTAAATAATCTCTACACTTTGAAATATAAAGCACATCAATGCTAATGCTGGAAACTGTAACTGACACAGTGTTAAAATGCCAACAGCAACCTGTCTACGTAGCCCTATTTATTATAGACAGCAACAGTGGAACACTGTCACAGACATATGGACTTCCTGTATTCTGGAAGAATTCCTTTTGAATGGCACTTCAGGCTCCTAAAAGTCAGCATATGTTGAAGTCTGCTGCAATTTTCTCAAGCTTTCAACGTTTTCTTTTAAACTGCAATAGTGTATTTTAAACAGCTTAAGCCTTAGGAAGGAACTCAGGCACTTCACAAGGAAGCATCTTCCACCTGTTTCACTGTTCCAAGGCTGTGAGCTGCTGACTGCTTCACATGTCACAGGTCAACGTGCAGGGAAGATTACTTGTTTGTGCCAGAAGCCACAGTTTTCACTCTTGAGAAGGAGAGCAACTTCCAAATTATAATTCATCCTTAGTTACTGCACCATGTTCACAAGAAAGGGCCATTTGCTGTTGAGAACACTGCCCATTTTTATGGATACCATATGTTGCTACACAAAATCAAGTGCCTAGGTATACCTAACTATCTTGCCAAATAGTCTAAGCAAAGGTGGCAGAGAAAATGGTACAGGTGGGTGGGAGTGGTGTATTTGCTCCCCCTCTCATAAAAGAAAGCATTTACCTTCAGGAAGAGGTTTATCATGAAGGTTGAATGAACCACTTAGATCAGGAAATTCTATAAGTACATCCGCAAAGCCAGCCTCAATTTTGTCCTTTGGCTGACACAAAAACCTAAGAGATGCAAATAATTTACAAATACTTCCAGTCCATGTGTACATTCAGGGCCAAACTACGCTTTGAGCTGTAACATAAACCTAGAACTATCTTAGGCCAAATACCCTCTTATAATACCTTACTATCAGCTTGGGCTGCTGAGCAAGTCAGGAGGACTCCAAGGGCTACAAAGGCAACATATCCAGAACAATATACAAAATTATCTAGCACAGAAATGAATAAAAATAATTTAATTTCAGGCAGAAATAGCTTCAAAATGTTGTTATATGGCAAATATCTTCTCCTTCATCTGCTTCAACTATTGGTCAGGAAGCAAACGCTGTAATGACTCACACAGCAGCAGCAGCAGCTCACGGTGCTGCTTCAGAGACATTCTGTGCTCACAGGGGTCAGCACAGCCTGGCTCCAGATGGCACAGCCAAACTCTCCAAACAAGGTCTGCACAGAATACACTTCAGTCCTGCCTGCTGGGAAAGGCAGTGGCACTTCAGGACTAAATGTAAGTTCACCTCTCTTGGCTGCACAACAGCGAGGTAACACAAAAGGCTACCATTTCAGCTTGGCCATGAGCCTGGCTCCCTCAGGGTCACACTCTGCAGGTGATTTAATCTTGCTCATTTGCTGTGGGTACCTAAGGAACAATCGCTGTGCCTTGGCAAAAGCTGAGGCGAGAAGGCAGGCAGGATTCCAATGAGTAAAATAATCAATACTGTGTTTGATGAAGAGAGCCAGAATAAGTTGACAGGATCTCAAAGGAAGGAATATCTTACCCCATCAGAGAGGAGGCAGTCTCCAGTAGAGCTACAATGCTACCTGCACACTAAGATCAGTATTTAAACAAAGCATAGAACATGTATTTACACACCTAAAAAGCTGGGGTTTTCAGGAACTGACACTTCACAGCTTTTAGCTGGCAGAGAAGAAGTTTTGAAGATACACTCCTAATTACGTAGCTACTTCCATTTCAGAAAACGCTTCTGAGTTTCAGAAAATAAAGGGAGAATAAAAACTTCAACTTCAATACTTTGGACCCTGCACTTTGTTCAGTCATATCTCAAGGCTATGACGAACACAGTTTCTCAGAGTTTAAAAACTGGAAAAGTGAATTTGTGGATAGCCTTTCATCTGACAAGTAGACAGTGATGCCTTGTAAAGGCTGACGTAGAACAGGGGCTAGACAGAGTTAAAGAATAAAGTGGGTATTTATTAAAAGGCCTCAATGAATACAACTTGGGGAGTACAAGAGCCCAACCAGGGCTACACCCAAGATGAACCCAAAATGGTCACAAAATGACCAGTCACGAGGTCTCTCACTTTTATAAGTTCTGGTCCATTAGCATATTGGGGTTAATTGTCCAATTACAGCTTTAGGTTATGAAGTCCCATCCTTCTTGTTTTTCTCTCTTCATTCTGCCATTGTTTGTGCTCTTGGGCCTGAGATTTGGATCATTTGTCCTTGGTCCCTAGCTAGAGAAGGAATTGTTTTGTCTCCCTACTCTGTGAAGCTTACTAGCTTACTTACTTACTTACTAGCTTACATACTTACACATTAAAGCAGTAGAGAATCTGAAAAATATAAAAGCTAAAACCTGAGGTATCAACAGCCCAACCATTGTCTGGAGAGTAGCAATTTAGTTTCATCCATGGAGTTTACTAATGTGCAAACCTGATGTGTGGACTCCTTTGTTTAAGGAAGTTCTGAGGCTAAAAACACTTGTGATGAAACAAATCAAAGGACAATTCATATCAAGGGAATACTTTGTGACAGGTGAAGGTTACAGTTGAGATAAACATCACCTATGTCTGACCATGTGGCTATTGTACTGAAATAGGAGGGTGAAGTAACAAAGCCAACTGCTGCAAACACACATGAGCACTGAAGCTCTACCACAAAGGCCAGCAGAGCAGAACAGACTGTAGAACAAACCGAGCATCATTATCCTGATTATACAGGAGAAAATGAGAGATTAAGAATATCTGATGGCTTGCATGAGACTGCCCTGACTCAGAGGCACTGCAAAGAGAAAGGGGCTTCTGAGACTGTCACTCTAGCACCCTGCTCAGTGAGCAGCTTATGTCTCTTGCTGACCTGATTTCTTAATCAGGCCCACAGCCCATACCAAGCAATTATGCCCAACTGCCTCAAGTCTGATTAACATGCAGCTAGCACCAGGCTTGAGGGACTGCATGCACAACAGCACGGCAAGAGAATTCGAAGTGCCAAACTGGAAACACAGTCCAGGAAAAATGTGTTTGTTAACAGGGGCAAAGTGCTGCATTTAGACAGCACAGAACAGTCATGTACACGGTGGGAACAGCAGTGTGGTGGGACATAATGCTGAGGGTGTCTGCAGACCAGCCAGTGGCCCACTGGGAGCATCACTCATCAGCAATATCTCTGAATAAAAGAAAATAAAAAAGATTGCTTTTAACTCAGTACATGGCATATGAAAGCAGCAACACTGCCTGCAAGGCAATGCATGGTAAGGTCTAGACAGAACATCAATATTTAAGGCCAAATGTTATGACAAATTGTCTTGAAAGAGGGGAGTAAATCCCACTTAGAAGGAAAGCTAGGAACAAACAAAAACCAGCAGAAGACCATAAAGAAGCACGAGCAAAGCATTTTCCTCTTGTAAAGCAGGAACAATTTATTCTCTATGTACAGCCTATATACAGGCTATAACAAGCTCAAACTGAAGCCAGAAAGATTTCGAGGGGGTGAAAATGAGAGCGTATGTTAAATCCCCAAAACCTAGTGAAGGAGTAACAGTGAACCACAGGATAAAAGGAGTTGTGGAGTAAACATCACTGAAAGGTTCTGAAAACCAGTTAAAGCACTGCTAAGACCCAGGATACCTGCTGCTGCTTGAGGCAGGTGTAGCACTCTAGCTACACCATTTCCTCCAGGTTGCTCAGACAACCTTTTGGTCTCATACACCTTCTTACAACCTCCATACAACTTCTCCAGGTATGAAATCTATTGTTGCTCTTTTGAAGTTACAAGTTGCAAACAACTGCTTAGAGCTCAAGAGCAACAGCTTATCTGATACTTACAACTAAGCCACCCAGTCTTACTAACAAAAACATTATCTTTACTTACAAATCCTGTTGTGTGCGTGTACATATGACATCCACATATACAGTATATATACATAAAGCATATCTGTAGGTACACATCTTCTATTCAAGAACTGCCCACACTGAAAACACAGAGTAGCTTTAAGTCTGTTCATGCCATTGCTAAACTTTGGAAATGTTGGGAGATATTGCACAATAATGGACTGAGCTGGGTGAGGCACAGTGGCACAGAACACCACAGGGGAAAAACATGCATACAAACACAGCAAACTGAGAGGTAAGAAATGATGTATCTTCAAGGCAGCCACAGGAAATCCAAATGGCCACCCTAATGCCAAGGTAACAAAAGGAAGTAGATAGCAGGGATTTACTACGGGAGACTTAAAACACTCACGCTGGATATTCAGGCACTTTTCCCTTGAAGGCAGGCAGATCACGAACGTATTCATTGTACAGCCACTTCACTTTGAAGTGCAAATTCATATAGTCCGCACTTTTACACAGTCTGTGTTTCTCATGCTCTGTAAGGAAGGGGGAAAAAAAAAGCATTTAGGTCTGAATTCACCACTGTAATCACATCAGGCATGGGAAGGACTTATGAAGAATGTCTGCAGAATACAAGGGTGTTGAGGATGAAGCATTTATAGAGCAGCAAAATCTTTACAACACAGAATTTCAGCAGCAGGCAGAAGCTCTTGGAGGTTGGGACTACTGGGGTTCTAGAGTTTTTTCTGTAGCTCTAATTAATACTTGCATTTGTTGAACATTTTTTGTTGTCACAGCAATAAAAACAGAGCAATGTCTCATGGCTTTTTCATTTAACATATCACAGTTGAGACTCCATCTTTGCAGGGGAAAAATTAAGGCAAGCAAATCTGTTCATTCTTGGATGTAAACAGAGGCAATAGCAATGTGTTACATTACATCCCCTATGAGACAACAGTAGAAAGCACCAAGAGTTTGACAACGTGGCTCAAACAAGATCAAATGGACTACACAGGAACTGAAGCCTTCCTTGCTCCCACCTGGAAAAATTAATATTTCTCTTCCAGAAAGCAGGGTCTGCTGCTGAGCTTCTTCCTCCTGCCAGGTTTCCTTGTATTTTTGTACCCAAGCAATGCTGGGAAAATGCAGTTTCTCCCTGTATAATGCCCCTACCTCCACAACACAACCCTTCCCACACACCTACACCACAAAGCACTGGCCGTAGTCAGACCTACGTTTCTGCAGATATCTCCGTAGATCACTGCTCCCCTTCCTTATCAGGAGAAATGCATGGTCCACGTCTTCACTCCTCAGGCTCTTCACAGCCTACGTCCACACTACCATCTTTCAGTAATTGACTCCCACCTCTGATCAGCCCACAATTATGTATTTAAAATACTTGCTAAATTCTCCCAAAATCAGCTCAACGCTTTCTCCCAAGCCACCCCACATGTGCTTACACAGGCAGATCCTTCTATTGCACTGTTTTTCTTCAAAATCCTCCTTGAAGAGATTAAAATTAATTTCTTTTTCATGATATGAGGATTCAGCAGCTGGCTTTTGCCTGTACTGTGACCCTGCATCATCAGGTGACCAATTCTGCACTGCCACTCCCCTGTGCCTCCTGTCTGTATTCGTCTCTTTCTTCTGCCAAGTTTCACAGCAGGAATACACTTTGTGCCAAGCTTCTTTGCTCACTCTAGCACCACAGCAAGCTGCTAGTCCATGACTACAATGTGAGATATTATAATAAAACATACATTATTTTGGCTTAGCCTCAGGTTTTTACCCCAGTATTTCACTTTAGACTCTTCTTTCAACCTTTAACATGGAAATCCCATCACTGATGTAACTTTCCAAGGGCATCAGTGCTCATGTGCAGACAGGTTTCAGCTATGTTCAAAAGTGAGTATTTTTCTCAACTCTGAATGGGTTATTAACTGATAGGCATGCCTATCTTACAACATTATCTATTTTCAGGTAAATGTGAATTCTTGCAACTAATTTAACACATTGAGAAACTTCCACATCTCTCATGAACCTTCATCAACATGCACAAGAATGAAATCCAAATCAAGTGTGAATTACCAACTGAAAACACAAAATCCACAGACATGTTCATGCCCAGTTTTTCCATAAACCTTTGTCAACTGTCAAGCAGTTGAATGTTCCAGTGGTTTGTTTGCAAGCTTTTGTAAGAGTGTAATACACATTTCCTCCTAGCTCACATCACAGACTCACACAGATACAATCTCGAAAAAAAAAAAAAAGGAAAAATAATAAAAGAAAGAAAGAGAAACCCAATCTTTGTTTTAAAGAGATTAAAATGCCCAATATCTGAGAGACATAATCCTCAGGAGTGATGGTCCAACGGACAAATTACATGTACTATGGTTCATTTCACTCCACAGGGAACTGTGTAAAGTCCATTCCTGTTTTACATTAATAACCTCATATCTTTCTTGAGCACTAAGAAAGCAGGAGTATACTCAGCGTCTGAACTGCTGACCCTCTGCTATACTTCAAGCAATGGTAGAAGAAAATGAGAACTCCCTCTGCAGATCTAAAACTGGAAACAAACAGAGCAATAACTGTGCCTGCTCTGCTCCCTGGGAATGAGGAAACCAATGGACAATTATAACTTCATTAACTCGGATGTGTGCTGCTGCCAGCTGCTGCTCCCGCACGTGGAAAGTGCTGTTCTTGCCGAGGAAAGGTCTGACTTGGATGTAAAAAGGACTTAAATCAGATTTAGTTCCTCAAAATTAAACAATGCACTAAAAGCAAGCAATTCAAGCTTTTTCCTGTTTTCTAGGACATCTAAAATGCTTCTAAGTTGCAGAAGAAGAAGATGCGAAGCAGCCACAAGCATAAACCCAAGTACAGCTACTAGGACTACCTGGCCACCTAGGCACTAAAGGAGACACTTGACACTAAGGGATAAATTACAGGAAACTAAAAGAAAGAAGACGTCTTACCGCCATAAAAGAGAACTTTACGTATTCGGAAGATAGGAGGGGCTTGATTGAGAGAAGACAAGAATGAACAGCTCAAATGTTCTGGAGGACAAAGAAAGCCAACAAAGACCCAACCTCCCCCATCCCCAGCTTGCATCATCTCCCCTTCCAACTTCAATGGACCGCACACAGTTTTGATCAGTTGCTTCCTTTGTAAGTGGAAATGTTTAAGACCACCTGAAGGCGAGATCAAAACACATCAGTCAGAGGCATACACTGAAAACCCATTTTAGAAAATGTAAAGTGAAGATCCTGGCAGCCATCAGTCTTAGAACATTTCTGTTCTGCTTCACAACCTGCTGGCTTTAAAAGAGCTTAGCAGCAGCAGCAGCAGAACAGGACACAGATACCGTGCAGCAACTGCTGTGTTTTATCCTGAAAAGACCACAGAGTTCTATAAGTCTCCCACACTTCCTTAGCAGATTTCAGCTGCAAACAGCCTTCTTCAGAGAAAAGCTTTTGGAGTAACCAAGGCCACATTATTAAGGCATTAATAGGGAACTGCTGCCTAGCAGCACACTTTCTAGTATTATGGCCAGTTCTCCTTCTCAGGTAGAGAACAGGACTTCTACCTACACACTCCTCAATCACAGATTTTTTTTCTTGATTGTTAGCCTAGTTTTCATGTGTTAACTTCCAGCAAATAATGCCAAATTTCTGTAAAGAAACTCTAATAGGTACCAGGGCTGTTGAAGTGTCAACACTTTAGATAGCTGGCATCTGTGTGTGCCTCTGATCCCCTTCTCCTTATTAGAAGTGAGAAAGTGGCAGAATGATTTATTTCAATCCTGCCTGCCAAGTCTACTCAGTCTCTTTTCCTATCAGAGATATTTCCAATTTGCAGCTCTCCTAATACTGATGTGTCCAAACTAAGATGAAATGTTGCTGTCATGGATGACGTTGATTTTCTATTACTGTCTTTTAAGGTGTTCCTAGCAAAGGAAGAGCAGAAGCCCCTTTGCTCGGGGTGTTTGTGATTTCTGAGTGACAGAGGTTTCAGGGAGGTCAATGAGAAAACTACTAACTGCAGTTAGTGTGCTAGCAGAGAGGCTATCCAGCTGCTTGAGCACTGGGCAGTGTCCCAGGGGTGGAGCCAACTGTATAGCTTGGAAAATCCTCTACCCTACAGTGACTCCAGAGTAACAAAAGCCTGCCAACCAGGTCTGGGACATGTGTATCTAACCTGTTTTATTCTTGGGCTGATGGGGAACAAGGGACACTTCTCAAAGACTCAGCAAACAGGGAAATGCTGGGTCTGCTGTGCATAGTGCCTTGAATAATCACTGCTTTGGGGGAGAGAGAAAACAAGTGGGGTAGATTCTGGAGAATCTGCTGTGTCTCAGACAGAGTCTCCTTTGGACAGCCAAAGGAATAACATCCAGCAGTCAAGCACACTGCTGCTGTGGCTACTGCTACCAGCTGCTGATTTATACAGAGAATAGGTGTTTCATTTTTATGATTCAACATTGTATATAATAGCAATCTAACTCTTCACAAGGTGTCCAAAGGACACACTGCTGCAGCATCCACAGGCTGGCATGAAATTCTGGGTCCAAATCCTTCAACATTCTAGGTATAAATTAGAATTTATGCATTGTGCTGCACAGGCTGCATAGTGCATATGGGGGTAAGCTCCAGCTGGGAGAGGCATGATGGGGAGAAGAAAAACTCAGGCAGCCAGGCACTGCTTTCCAGCTGAGAGAAGCCATCTCCCACTTGAACCTCCCAAGTCTCTTCCACACTGCCGACTGGAGAGCAGTGTGGAAGCATCAGGCTGGAAGGAGGGAGAGGGCAGTTTCATGCAGCCAGGTCTGAACTCCTTCTCCTCCAAAGTCTCCTTACAGCACATGCCCTCTATTTCTACAGCAGCAGTATGGTCTTTCAAGTCTTCTTTGCAGATCTGTTTATTGCTGGCATAAAAACTACAGAACTCTAGAGCTAGTGTTACGTACTACATCCAAAGTGCTAAAACTGCAGGTAACAAATAAAAGTCTTTGTCTATTCACAGCTACAAGCTCCATCAAGGAGCACAAACTTACCACTTGGTGAGGTGAATGAGCTCATGTTATCCAGAACTTAGGAACAGAACATAAGGGAAAACACCATGAAGAAAATTAGGGGCAAATTTTATACTCTGAGCTCATGTGCACATATCTCAAAAAAACAGATTAGCTTTGTTGCAGAGCTCCTGCTCTCAGAGCAGAGAAGAAATGTACCCAGGGATTGTGCCATGAACTGCAAAAAGAAATATGAAACTCTTGGTGCAGGTTAACTGGTAGAAAAACCAGCCACTGAACCTGAGAAATGACAGAGCCAAGAGCTGAGGCTGACAAATCTAATTATCATCCTACACATCATTTAATCAGTTTCCTTTAATCCCTTTTTTCCGAGTTAAAACAAAAAAAAGCAGAGAGCTAATGCAATCATCTGCATTTAAAATATATGTAGTAAGGCCCCTAATTGAATTATTGTAGAGCTTGTTCTAAAGGTTATCTTCACAAGTTTCTGGAGAGCAAAGCAGTGTGAGGAATCACACTTGCCTCAAATAGAATTCTGCACCCTAAGCATTTCTTGAATATATATTTGGAAAAGACACATCCTAACACAGACTCTATCACTGTTCAACCCTCCTGCAGAACTCGAACAGTTAGACTACAAATAAATTACAGTGCAGTTTTTAGATTTTTGTTCAAAATGCAAAATTCCTGTCCACCAGCAGCATTTGTATCAAATTTTGTAACCAATATTCTGAAGAGGGATGCGCTTTTCAGCAAATATTTACTATGCACTGAGGAACTCATGGGTGATACCAATACTCGTCTTAAGAAGCTCACAAGTGACCAGAAGGATATCAGGAAAAGGCAAAATAAGCTCAGAGTCATAAGTGGGGACATGGTATGAGACATGAACAGAGAAAACCTGGGAGACCAAGCTAATCTGGGCACTGGCAACCAAATAAAGAAAAAAAAAATCATGTTCCCTTCGACAGTCATATAGCTGCACTTTGTATACAGCAGAGAAAGGGAGACTTAGGAAGGTGAGCAACATCTGGAGACATGCAATTGCAATTCTCACTACTGCAGATAAAGGTGCTTTTAACATGCAACAGAGCAAACTGCATTATAAATTCCTGAAGGAGAGCACACATGAGCAGAAAGAACCATAGAGTGGCTGGAGCTGGACAGGGCTGTAAAGATCATGTCATTCCAATCCCCCTGCCATAGGCAGGGACACTTTCCACCAGATCAGGCTGCTCCAAGCCCCGTCCAGCCTGGTCTTGAACACAGCCAGGGAAGGGGCAAAACCAGCCTCTCTTGGCAACCTGTGCCAACCTGTGCCAGTGCCTCACCACCCTCACAAGGAAGAATTTTCTCCTAATGCCTAATTTCAATTTATTCTTTCAGTCTGAAGCCATTCGCCCTTGTCCTGTCACAATAACTCTTGTAAAAAGCCCCTCTCCATTGTTCTTGTAGGCTCCCTTCAGGTACCCCAGGTAGGTCACCCCAAAGGCTGGACAAATGCAATTCTCTCAGTCTTTCTTCACAGGAGATGTGCTCCATCCCTCCTAGACAAATAAGGACAAAATTGAAAGGGGAGCTAAAAGGGTTTGCAGAAGCAAATGGTTTCTAGGGAAAGAGAACATGAAATTATCACCATTGCCTTATCTCTAACACATGAGCAAGCAGTGACAGTCACTACAGAAGAGACTCTTCAACATAGTTAGTAGGTCGCAGTCCTTCCTCCCAGTGTCTGTTCTTACATGAGCTTGACCTCACAAGACAAAGGCACTGCGGGGTACACACATATATAAAAAGTTTCTAACACAGAATTGAGAACATTTCATCCAGCCCTGCAGCATGTCAGATTCAAGCCTTCACCTGGCAAAGACTGCTCCCTCACAGCACAGTCTCTACATCTGTTGCACTGACAGAGATTAATAAAATAAATGGAGTCAATCTTTTTCACCTACAGAGCAACCCCACAGACTGTTTCCAAAGAACAAAATGCAGGCAGCTGTCTTACTGGCAGCATTTTTTTCATAGCAATCTGGAGAGTCTAATTGGCTGTCACTCCTGTAAGTGAGTTCAGATCAAAGTGGGGACAAGTGGATTGAGTGAAATTTTGTGAGTGGCCAAAAGCAGTAGCTTGACTTTGGTTTGGAGTATAAATACAGCTAGCATGCCGCAGACAGCACTGGCACTTCTGTTTTATCACAGTCTCACCTTATGAATGATCATAAAGCCCAACCCTGCAGAGACAGTGGGAGCTGGATGCTCTCTGAAACTTGTGAAAAGTTGGTAAGATTGTGAAAATCAATGTACAGAAGTAAAATCAAGTTCAGAAACCAACCATCAGAAGAGTACTGCAAGAAGAAGAATTCCTTTCTGGATGTTTACTGGGTTTTCATGCCTAATTCATTTTCAGAAACAGTAAAATTTCCTCCTTCCTAGGAGATGGAATTATGCAAATACTAACTGGAAATGAAGATGTCTGCAGCAGGAATTATTATAACAACATCTTTCTGCTAATGGCTTAGACAACCTGTGCTGTATTATCTAGGGAACTAGAGCCGTGGCACAACCCAGAGTCCACCAACTTCTGTCCTTTCTACCACAGCACAATGGAAGATGAAGCTGCTGCTGGCTGCTGATCCAAGCCATCTTAACTTCTAGGCCAAAGGGAACTTCTGATTTCAAACCAGCTGGGATGTCAATGAATAGCTTGCAACACAGCCTGACATGGAGGTTTACAGCAGATCTCAGCCTCAGTTCTGACCCATAAACCAGCTGTGCATGAACAAACACTAAAAATCCCAGCTCCAATCAGTGATGCTACTCACGAGCTTAAGCCTCAATTTCATCAAACAATGGAGAAAAAGAGACCAGCAACAAGTCAGCTAACAGCAGTGAGACATTCTCTTACCTTCCATGGCATACTTCATATCCTGGGCAAAAAGACTCCACATCACCTCTGCGCTGATCTTCCCAACTGCAAGCTCCTGAGGAAACCTGAGGGGACATTTGGAAAAGGCTTTGGCACACGTCGAAGCAAAGGGCACTTCTTTATTTAGCTATGAGCTACACTACAAGCTGAAAATCTCAACCTTACAAATGCTTCCTTCACCCTAGAGAACTGGTTGAAGATAAGAGATCAAAGACTAGACTCTGTGGCACAGATTAAGTAAACAAAAAAATTTGTTTAACTCAAAAAGACAGGTCCTACATGTCTTTCCTAGAAGAGGTGCACCCAGTCATTCTGGGAATGTGATCTCTATGCCCTTGCACTTTTTCCCCCTTCCTTGCTCATTTTTTTCCTTCTCCTTTTTGAGGGTTACTAGGCTGACAGGTGACTGCTAATCATGTTAGATCAATGATGATTAGGGCACAATCCAGGTCTTTGTGTGTAATACCTTGTAGGATCTCTGTCTCTCTCTGCCCTGTGGGACTGTAACAGGGGTATCCACCAGTCAAACAGACCCATTTCCAATGGGTCCTATCCAGTGCTACACAAACTCCACCCAGTGCAATCTCCCAGTGCTGCACTGAACACCATGTTCCTAAGCCACAGTGTAAGGCACCACAGCACTACTGTGTGCCTTGATGTGCACCCCAGAACTGCTCAACATCAGAAAAAACCAAAAGAACTCTCACCCCAGTTTCAGGTGCCTCCCTGAGTTCAGGATTGTAATAATCAGGGTGTTTGTGCTCGAACGCCATCGTAACTGAACCTTTTGAAACTCTTCCATCCCAATCAAAAAGTTATTTATATAGACAGAGACAGATAAGACAGAAAGACAGACAGACAAGATAAGTACTTCTATAAATGCACAAGTGACAGAAGAGATAGAAAGCAGTTTAACAAATAAAGCAGAGCAGACACAGACTAGCATTAGCCAAACATGACACGGAGGATTCTTACTGATTCAGGACTGGGGTATAAGAATTCTTGTCCTCTTCTATGATGGAAACTATCAAAGTGATGAGCTTGGGCCAAAAATCAAGGTTTCTGATGCTGGGGCCCTGTTCCTCGGCAGGGAGGTCCTGAGTTTTGTTCTGAGAAGGAAGCCATTGGAAAACCAGCATAAAATGTAAGGGAAAAGAAAAAGCTAATTGCAGATCACCATGCAAATTCCAAGCACACCTGTGGACCCTTTCTTCCAAAGAGCTTAAAATTATTAATGACGGCTGGCAACTTGTCTGATCTACTGCAAAACACAGTAACACACCAAAACATGTTGCTAACTGGTGGTCTCAAACCCAACTAATCCCTGTTTTGTCATCTGCCATGCCAGGAGAAGGCCAGGCTCCAGGAGACCTGCTGAGACATCATTTGCCCTAAGCCTATTCCAAATACTTGCTCTTTAGGCACCTGGTTGGTGCCTGTATCCCTGTTGACATGCTGTGCGTGCATTACTACAAAGAGGCCAGTGGAGCTGCCACGCATGTGAGAACAGTTTGTGTCTAGAGGCACCTCCTAAACCTATTTCAGGCAGGATACTGGGTGCCAAAAAAAGAGGCAAAATCTCAGTGCTTGAGGTTTACATATGTTAATGACAGTTTCCTTGATCAGCCTACATTTGCTGTAATTGGCTTTCGCTCGCTCAAAGCTACATGAAACCTTCCCTTCACAAATAACTGCTGAGGCTGGCAAAACACATCATAATTAGTTAGTGTAAAACAATTATCATCTTCCCCTTACTAATTAGTGCTCATTAATTGATTACAAATTTTGTGCATTCAGAAGATAACAAGTCACACAACTTTGTGCTGCCTTTTTTTTTTCAATTAGTATTTTTGTTATTACCTTAAGAAAAACAGAAAAATTCAATTTCTGCCTGCTTATCAGCTACTCACAGGATCTGTCTGGTACTCCCGACTGTACAGCTCATGACAATTGTTGAAAATGTACTCATAGGTGGAATTGAGGCAAGCTTTTACACAGTCCTTCACCACCTGGCTAGCTCGTGGTGGACTCTGCAACTCTTGGACCTGGCAAGGGGACGACAAAGAGAGTCAAACAAAGCACGGTTCATAAGTCAAACAGGGAAAGGACACATCACTGTTCTGGAAACCACTCAAGGCTTGGTGGATCTGCTTTCAGCAACCTGTGACATTAAACCACAAATGGGTCACTCTCCACAGGCATAAAAAAGCAGTGACAACACTTATCTCCCCACAGGACCATCTGAAGCATAAAAGAGATTTTGATGTGCCAAGGAAGATCCCCCAGAACAGATAGATCATGTGGCTTGATATGTGTATAGCCTGAGCCAAACACACAATTTCTGCTGAATTTATAGGACTTTATTACAAAGCCTGCAGGCAATCTTCCCCAGCACTGGAAGCACGCAGAGCCGTTTACATCTGATCTGCAAAGTCTTGCCAAAGACCACTCGTCTGCCTTTAAATACAAAAAAACTTTCATTAAGGACATCTTTCATCACAAGCTTTATTGAATTTTAAAGCAACCAGAATCATTAGGGACATGCCAACTGATACGCCTTCTCGTCTTGCAACAGCAGCTGTTTTCATTATTTCATTGTTACACTATTTCAGGAAAGTGCTGCAGAGGTACTTTAAACTAAACAGACAGGCAATTGTCACCCTGCAAATACAACTATAACCTGACAATTTTAATATTTTTAGTACCTCTAAATTTTTCAGAGTATCTCTATAAATCAAGCTTCCAACATACAGACTGTCTGAATGAATACTCTTAAAATAAAGATCTAAATCATCATTTACACTAGGGCTTAGGTGTAAAAATTTAAGCACTTCTTGAAGTAGCTCAAATTAAACACTTGCTTTGTTTTTGGTAAGATAAACATTTTTAAGTGGCATGTACTAACCAACAATATTAGGTTGTGATCTTGTAAAAAAAGTTTAAAAGCCAAAAATCAGGAATATAAAATAATCTCATTACACACTGCTAGGACAATAAACTTAACTACGAAACCAGCACATTAGCATTCATAACAACTCTCCTGGATCTCTGCTGAGAGATATTATCCCATTTTAGAATCTCAGCCTCCACAAGGGAAACTCTAAAATATTTACTAGATAGTGAAATCCTTCCTAATGTTATTAAAAAAGCAAATTATCTTCCTAAAACTAGACATTTCCCTTTATTCTTCCTCCTCCTCAATTTTTTTGGTTTTTTGTGAGGGAGGGTGGGAGAGTGTTGTGCCATCTTTATGACTGAAGACTAATAGGGGAAAAGCAATTTACATCTTCATAATGCAAAATATAGAAAAGTAAAGACAAAATGTAGATGTTTATATATGGCCAGCAGACAATTTCCATTTTCCTTAAGTGTCTAAAGAAAAACAACATGAAACAATGGTTTGAAAATGGGAAATCAACTCCTGGGGAAAAAAACCTGCAGAGATGCCATTCCCATTTCCACCCATATCCCTACCTTCATCCTGAAAAATGTGATGCTGGTCAGCAAATCCACTGTAGACTTCAGGTCCTGCAGCCGCTCACGGCTGCTGGCTGGGAAGTTATTCTGTTGACAGAAAAGGGAAATCCTGTTCGAAAGCACAGTCAGATCCATGCAAGGCTTCAAGCATGTGCTAAATAAGGAAACGGTCTTGGAAACATTTCCTGCTCAAGAAGCTTGTACCAGTCAAAACAATGCTCAATAAATAAGGCCTTTTTGCTGCAGAAGCTTATCTGTTTGCTTAATTAAATAGCTCCTCACATAAATGTAGTGTCTGTGGATGCCAGGAGACTGACAGCCCTTGGTGGCAGGAACAGTCTCCTTGGCGTATGTAGAAGGAGCAGGCTGGGAACAGCCTTGCCACTGGCAGCCCTGGCCTTTTGCCTGAGGTTATGTGAGACCTTTCCTTTCTGCACTCAGTGCTCTGTTTTCTGGCTTCTCTTCTGGGATGCCAAGGGGTGTGGTGTATTCAACACCTCTCCAGAGAAGTAAACAAGACCAGGAAGGAAAAATTAGCACTGCTCCCATAAGATGGTACTGGAACTAGCTAGAACCCTGTGAGATGCCCTATGGAAATACATACGCTGAATGCAGCTAGCTTTGCTTCTTGCACAACACTCTTCCCTTTCTGACCTCAGGCACTGTGCCCTTTCCAACATTCCCACTGTCTCCTGTGGACCTGTGTCCTTTAAGAGCATTCATGCTCCTCAGCATGTTCTTACATTCAAGCTGATGGGATTGGTTTTGCTGCAAGTAGAAGAGCAGGGGCAACCTTCTCCTCACATAGCTTCTTCACATCTGCACATTCAAAAATTATTAGATATGAAGGCAAAAAGAGCTGACAGGAAGAGTTTTCCCTTTTTACTGAGGACTTGCGGAAATTACAGTAGTAATTGAGTATTACTGAAATTTAGCTAACCACTGCAGGCAATTTGATGCTTTCTGCAGTCATTTGTAGATGGTCCTTCTCAGACAACTCTCCTGTTAAAAGTTAAGCTGTCCACACATGGGTTCTCTGGAACTCAGGGTATTTACCAAAATCAAAGACTTCCATGGGTAAAGATCTAAATAAAAACCATTTGAAGAATATAAATTGCCATCTCCTGTTTGGAAAGCTGCAAACTAATTCCTTTTCTTTCAGAACTTAATCTGCCCTTTAGGGTCTTAAAATAATTACTAAATGCTCACATAATGCTTCAGCCATTTCTCCAAATATAATGTCAATTAAATTACACCTAAATTATTTACACTACACAAATCTTTCCTGGTCCTTTATGTAAGATCTTACTTGTTTGTGCACATTTCAGTTGCACCAGCTACCAAAAAGCAGCTTTTACTGAACACCAAGCAAACAAAAAAGGCAGCACTGCTACAGATTCCTATTGTCATGGGTTGATAATTTTCCCTCTGCTACTCCATGGATCAGCTGCCTCTATTTATACCTTCTCTTTCTAGTAATGTAGCTTTAGAATAGCTCTTCACACAATATTCCTTTTATCTTCTTTTTCACCTTTCCCCTTTTCCTTTTTGTCTTGTCTTCCTAATGCACTTCTCTTTATCTTCTTGTGTTTTTCTCCTCTATATGTTTTTCTGTGTTTCAGGTAAATGCTAAAATCAGAAGTGGATAACTAAATAAAGCTGAAGCTCACATTTTGGCACCATTTTCAAAATTTTCAATGAATTAGCCACTGATTGAAATAATATAGCAAGGAATTTCAGGGAAAAAACCAGCCAAGTCACATGATAAGACAATATTGACTCAGGAGTAGCAAGGAAAGAAAGTGGAGGGTTTATGAAGCTTGTTGGACTAATGCCAACACCTGAAACTCATCCCTTCACAATCTGCTGGAGGGGATCTCAAACCTGACCATACATCGTGATTTGAGTTTGCCAAACCTTAAATAAGTGACAACATGGTGCTCTAAAATATTTCTGTTCATAGTAGGGGAGAACAAGTCTATTTTCCCTTTTTAGATGATACCCAAAGTAGCTGATAAGAGTAATTCAAATTATTTAATCCAATCTGACTTGGAAAAACTTCTGAGGAAGTATCAGAGATAAACACAGCTGACAATGCTCAAATTATTTCAGAAATCTCAAGCAAATTACAATGGAAGAAAAAAACAAGGTGTAAGTTTCAATCCATCGTAAAACAAAACAGTACATTTCAGCAACAAGCTTGTCATGACAATTCCTTAAGACACAAACTATGCAGGAAGTTAGAAACATAAGAGAAATCCAAATGGTGTGTTTCAGCTCTGCCCACGAGAATACCTGGAGGATTCTGTTTATTCCCACTCACCCTGTACATTGAGAGATCAATCCGAAGTGAATTATGAAGCTGATCCAGAAGCTTTACAAATCGTTCTTTCTGTTGAGCAGAAAGCCAGAAAGCACCAGTAAACATTCACATATCACTAGTGTCCAATCCATGTTCAGAGTAAGCAGCAAGATATCAGGTAAACAGTGTCAGATCTCATGAGAGCAGGAGAAAGCAGTGTGGGTACGTGGCATTGTGCAAACGGTATTTTCTTTCAATTCTTGGATTTACTTTAAAACTGTAATTATTTCTGAAGTCTGTGAAATATCACAATTTCAGAAAAAACACTCCATTATCATTCTGAAGTAGAGGCAGAACAGAAACCATTCTGACTTTCCATCTGCAATTTACACCAAACTTGTATTTGAGAGAAAAACAGAGATTATTCAGAGATGAATAAATTACAGGCAGAAAAGGGTCTAATTCAGAGCAATGATACAGCTCTGTGATCTTATCTAGACAAGTGACAAGTACTACTGGCTTCTTGTGACACAACTTCTTGAGGTCAGATCTCTCCACTGAATTCTGATTTGGCATTGTGAACACCTCAGTCTATTAATAAATTCTCAGTCTGATGGGAAGTTTTTCCAAATACTTTTCCATCATGCTCAACTCCACCACAAATTATATACAAAACATTTTAACCATTAAGGGGATAGACTTCTTTTGTGGTGGTGCTTTTCTTCTCCTAAAGCAGTCGCTGTTTTTAAAACCAAAGTTCTGAAATTACCAGATCACATGGTATATTTTACCAACAGCACTAACATGCAGAGCTAGTATTGTTTGCTCATTCCATACCATCTGTGCTCCACTGTAATGTGAACACAAAGAATCAACATCACAATGCATTACATTGATTGATATCTGAATTGTGTGATGATGAAGACAATAAACCCATGCTCTTTGTCTGGTATAGGAGTTCAACTGCTTCGAATTCCTCACAAATTTAATGTTCTTTAAACAGAGCAAGTTGTTTACAGAAGGGTAGAATCACTGTAGCAAGTTAAAGAAGTCCAATTGCAACATCACCAAACACACAAACCTACCCCAAAATTGGAGGCTGCAAAGCGGTCCGAAGCAGACACATTTGTGGAGGCAGTGGTGTGTGCATAATAAGCATTGATATTGGCAAGTAAGGTGCTCATCACAGCTGGCACGCCTGGGCACATGTATTTAGAGGAGAGACATGCAAAATGCCTGCAAAAGGACAATGATGTAAGTCATTCTGGTCTCTTTTGTGCAGCTGGACTTGAGTTTATCCCTTTAACAGACCCTGTGTGCTGGAGGGCACCACGAACAGATGGAAGTTACGTTTCATCACTTTACAGAACTCCAGCATCCCAGAGTTTTTATTCAGAAAGGTGCCATCTAGACAACAGCTCAAAACAAAGAGAAATCCCTTCACTGCAGCCATTTCCAGATCATAAAACAGCTTCTCAGCCATTTGCTGCCACAGTACGTGACTTAGTGATGCCCTGGGTCCTGATGCCAATTCCTAGAACCAAGCCTGACACAAGGAAATCGACACAATTTGCTGCTGCTTGAGGCAGACACAGGTTCTGAAGTGTCATGAGGTGGCAGCAGCTGGAAAGCATTAATGGCCAGTGAAAGTACACATTAGTATTTCTGTGCTGCACTGATATGTTTAATTCCTTATGGCTAACCCATTCAGCCTGCAAGAAGTGTGCACACTTATTTGCATTTTCCCATTCTCTCATTAAATGCAGGGAAACCACCTTCAGGAAATCTCAGAATTACGCTAGGAGCATTCAGGCTTGTGAAACTATTAAAAAAAATTTAAAAAAACTGTTAGTCCTAAAAAAATAATCAGAGCTTAAGAGATCTTACATCACGGGAAATGGCAAGTTCATTTCAAGAGGCAGAAGAGATGGGCCATTTTTATGCAGACATACTCACTGAGAAATCTGATCTAATTTGGGAACCACTTTACAAATGTAACCTTCTCCCTGAGGTTCTCATAGAATCACAGAACAGTTTGGGCTGGAGGGGACCTTTAAAGGTCATCTAGTCCAACCTCTGCACTGATCAGGGACCCACTGCTCCAACCAGGCTGCTCAAAATCCCATTCAACATGACCTTGAACACTTCCAGGTTATGTAGGACATCTACCACCTCTCTGGGCAGCCTAGTCTATCCATGTTTCATCCACTGTTTCACCACCCTCACTGTAAAAGATTTTGTCCTTTTATCTATCCCAAATCTAACCTCTTCAAGTTTAAAACCATGCCTGTTACTTAACACTTAGCTACTAATTGGTCATTTAGGCACTGGGTAAATACAAGCACATGAAACGGCTTCATTTAGCTTTAAGAAGAGAAGCTGTGTGGAATGGGGATCTAATCAGAGAGGCTTCCACCTTCATCCTTGCAGAGAGGCTTCCACCTTCATCTTTGGAAATTTTTCACATCCCTGAGCAGCGTCTTTCAACTTTCAAGTTAGCCCTGCTATAAGCAGTGACTAGACCTCCAGAGAAACCTGCCAATTCTCTTCCATTTTGGCTTAAACCAATAGGCAGAAAAGCTGCTTGCAAGGTGACATAAGTACAGCTCATAAGTCATCTCAGGACCTATAACCCAAAACCTTTAGCTTCTAATGTGAAAAAGTTCACTTTTGTCTGCTACATTTTATATTACACTTGAAATAAGAAATGAGCTAAGTATAGCAATACTAGTCTTTAAGAGGAAGAATGACTAATCCCAAATCCAAGTAAAATTACAGAGACAACGAAAACGTTCTTTGAAGATACAGAACTGCATTAACCTAGCTCCAAAGAGAACAAATCAGTGGCACCATTACTCAGACTTACTGGAACTGCTTTCAGCAGCACCTGGGAAAACAGTCTCTTCAAAGAACTATAACATTTGCCACAACAGACAGATAGGACAAATGCTTCCACAAAACTCATCCCTTCTCACCAACAGCCTTCAGTGAGAACCCTGAGCAACACCTTTTTAACAGAAGAGCTCTCAAAGAGAGATTGGAGAGTCTCAAAACAGGAACAGCAGACAATAATTTTTAAGCTTTGAGGACACCAGTGATTCAAAGACAGAAAGTCTCTTCCCATTCACAGTAAGCCCCAAAAGGAGTAGCTGCCACTGCCAAGCTTTCCATTATCGATACACTTCATCTGCTAAACAGTGAGAGTTACATCAATCAGTTACACCAATTATCTGCACTAAGGAACACAGGAAATGCATCTTACGTCATGGCCTGGTATATTGACTCAATGCCATAACGCATTGCAAATTCATCCACGATCTCTTGGGCTGTCTCATCAAAATACACCTTCCATGCATCATCTCCTTTGGCATCAGGGATCTTCACCACCCCATTCCCTTGCACATCTGTGAGATGGTGAAAGAGATTCTGAAAAACAAAACAAGGACAAGTTTGTATGTATGTGAGGCTGCTGAAGCCGCTAAGTAAGATTCTCAAAGAGCGTGAAACTGCTGATGTGGTGGCACTATCACAACTTTGTTTGTTCTCCTCCTTTTTTTTCCCCCTGCTCACTCTGTATTTTTTGCTTTTTACCTTTTCCTCTTGAACAATCTCACAGCTGAATTTTTCACATGCATACCTACAACTTTACCCAGCAGACAATGTGAACGATGCAGAAGAGTGCTTCAGTGCACTGAAACCATACACTAATTAAGTTTTCCTGAAACCTATGCATTTCTGTTCTCATCATGAAAATGCCTTAATATGGACAAGCTATTTAAAACTAGCTGTTCCAGCTCTGTATCAGCATTGTAATTATTATACAGAACAGTCCAAACAGACTTCTTTTCCTGAAAAGGATACCCTTAAGATCAACCCTAACAACTAGACACTTGCATTATTATTATTCAACATAACCTTTCACTTTATCTAACACTGCAAAAGTTTTCAGCTATCATTGCTATGCAGAAATTGCACATTCAGCTCAGTGCGCTTCTCAGTAATCCTCATACTCATGTCACTTACAGATTCATCAGCCTTTCAGAGAATGGCTCCCTACAGTAAGTGATACAGAAGTCTAATGATCTCATTAGTAGCTAGAGTACTCTGCTTTACAGTAGTATTTTTCCTGATTATATTATTCTTTCTGCAAATCATCTTCATTTTAGAATACACAAAAGAAAAAAGTGATAGTTAAAAGAATTCTTTTTGCAAAAAAAAAAAAAAAAAAAAAAAAAGAGAAGCAAGTGAACATGAATGTTCAAAGGACAAAACCAAAACAGCTTACCAAAGAGTAGCCATCACTGAAATGAAAAACAATAAATATGTATTGAAGGATACAATACAGCCTACTAAAAGAAGCTTACTTTCTGAGCTTCATATTTGTCTTATAGAGAGTTCCCTGGCAAGGCCAGAAGACACCACAGAGCTCTTCCAGCTCAGTGGCTGAATAAATACACTGTTCCTGTAGATGAACATTCCTCTATGTGATACAACTGTCCTTCTCTGTGTAAGACGAATTTCCTTAACCCTCAGTGACCTCAGGATATTCTCATATACAGGGCTCTGACTACTCTTCCTAATTCAGGCACTTTTGAGACTGACCCTGCTGCCTGCCTTTTTTTTGACACAGATAGACTGGGCATTTCTCCAAGAAAGGGTTTCCCTTTAGTTTTTCTCGAAAGTCATCTTTGGATTCCTCCCAACTTCTGCAGCACTGCCCGTCTAGCTCAGTCCATCCTGAGATGGGTCAGTACCCAGAAACTCAGCTTAATCTTCTGTTCCCCAACAGTTGTTCATAACCACACAGCACTGCAGCAGCACAAAAGAGTTTATACCACCAACACCTGCATCACTCAAGAGCCCAAGACAGAGACTCTCCTCAATCAGAATTTACCCATAATGCATTTTAGTATGCTTCCTCTAAAGAAAGACAGAAATGTAGTACATGTTGAAAACATCACTCAAGGAAATTCACATGTTTCTCCACCTTAAACTCATCATGGGCTCTGAGTGGAACCAAAGCCTGATCTCTTACAGTAGCACAGCTGTGACAGTTGGACACACTGAGCCAGCCAGTCCCCAGTGTCGGGGAGACAGGTTAAAACTGCCTTTGCCTCCCTGACAAATGTGGGTTTGATGATTCAGTGTATTACCACTGTGTGGCAGGGAAAAGAAAGCTCACTTAGGGCACAGAGGTACATTTCAAGGAAATAAAAGTCAGAAAATTGCTTTTTCAATAGTCAGAATGAACAGATATTCACACTTCTTACCTCATGAAGGCAAGTGTACTGAACATGATATGGAGCCACTTTCTCCTCGCCTTTGATCTCCACACTGATCTGCAGGCGAATAGCCCCAGACACTGCAGACTTATCTGTTCGCTTCTCTAGGAGGCAAAACCATCAGCAATTATTGCATTGTTCATGTCCAGAGCACAGCCATCTCAGGGTGACAACACTGGCAAAAGGAACTGGTGGAACCTCGGGCTGAGTCACCACAGTGAAAACTTTCTCTTTTCTTTCAAAACGTTGAGTAACACTAAGTAGACATCAGCAAAACAACTGCCATAATACAACCTCAATATGACACATCTAGTTAGAACTATGCACATTTTTGGACATAAGATACCCTTTCTGCCAGTAAATGTGCTACAGGGTCTTGGATTCAGTCAGCTGAACTAGAACCACCAAGGACAGATTCCTTTTCTGAGAACAGTGCTGACTGATGTGGAATTTCTCCCTAACTTCACCATAGCCCTAAACTCCTGGGAACTGCTGGAAGAAGATTTTGGATCTCCTAGGAGATGACAGGTTCACAGTGCCTGTCAACTCAGTACCATCTGGTTGCTTGCTGGTACTTTCTGCAACAGTCACTGGAAAAGGTCTCACCAACTTGCCAGCCCAGTGCAGTGCACCTGAATTTCTTACAGACTGGTAAAATGCTTGTGTTGACACCAAAAAAAGAACACAGGACAGTATGTTTCCAGCAGAATAGAGTCTTGCTCCAAGCATTTCTTCCCCTGTATTTTTAAATAGCTGACAGAGAAAAACATCAACCTTCTGGCACGTTACACTCCATTTTAACTGGGAGCAGCTCTGCAGCTGCTCTGCAGCAGCATCACATGCCCTTGAAACCATGCAAACTTTTTCTCCCTTTCTTCCAAATTGTCCACATGTATCCAAGTGCTCTCAAGTGTTCCCAAATCAACACATAACAGGTTTTCAGTCCCAAGGCACTGCTCACCAAGGTTGTACCAAACATCCATTTCTCCGCTCAGAGTGCGAACTTCTATGATTGTTTGCCCCAGGAAATCATCTGACTCGCGTTTCAGCCTCTGCTTGACACGAGACTTGATGTCATCATCTTCATCCCACACTCGCACCTTGATCCGGTCAGAGGAATTATGGCACTCACTGCAAACAAGAGAAAATGTAATTTTAAGAGTGTGCAATGCAGCCAACATTTATTTGCTGCATTCTCTATACTCCTCTTGACCCACTCCTCCAACATCACAGAGATGTATTAGCGAAGTGTAAACAATGTGTATTCATTCAAAAGTGGAGTGTCTGATATGAACCACACAGCACCTTGTTGGTGCACTCTAAAGGTTCCTGTGACATGGCAGATACTCCAAATGCATGCTGAATTACAGCCCTGCCCCAGCCTCAGCCACCAACTTCTGACTTCCCAAGCAGCTGTGACTCTGCTGCTTGTCCTCACTCTCAGCAGCAGCCCACAGAACTTGGGAATTCTCTTCACAGCTGTCAGTTTTGCTGTGAAGCCCACAGAAGCCTGGGGATAGCTAGGTTGGTTAATGCCAGCATACACCCCCACAAAAAATGACAATCATCATCTAACTGGTTTCAACAGCTCCCTCCATCAATAACCTCCTGTTCAGCTGCAGGCTGTAAGGGCTACCTGTCTTTATGCAGTTTCTAGGTTAGCACAGTGAAGACGTGTGACAAACACCCTTTGTGCTAGTTTTTAACAAAGGATAAATAGTTCAGGTGGAGGTAGATCTCCTTCTTCAAGACAGTCACAAAGCAGTAGTGTATCAGTGCATAATACATTACAATCAGATGATACACCACACTGCCTGAGGAGAAGGGGTGTGATACAGTAGTTACAGCATTGGTATTTAATTACTAGAATTGATTCTGCCTATTATTCACAGCTTAGACTGATACTTTGTGATCTGGTCAGATCAATAAAGACATTTCCATTAAAAGAAGCAGTTTACTGTGTGATGAATCAGCACCCTCCAGTTTAATGCACAGACAGGATTTAAAGACTCTCCCCTTTTTCAGGTGTTTCAGATACCTTTTGCATATCCAAACAGGCTCTTGGATGTCAGAAGTGGGTAGAACCATATTATAACAGCTCTGCTCATTTACAGGGCATGCAATAAAGCAACTTGAATGCTCATATGAGACCATGACAAGGGTGATTACTCACCATAACCACTACAAATGTCTACCCTCAAGCAAATAAAACCTATGAAAACAGGCAACTGCTGCTGAAGGCCTGTTTTCCAGTCTTTTTAACATTAACATGCTGCATCTGTTGCTAAGCAACAGGAAGAAAGAAGAAATGGGTCAGAAGAGCTCTGCTAACCCTGGTCAATAGGATGTGGCAGTGGCTGGTTATGAGCATGCTCTCTGCCAAGAAACCATTTGGGCTCTTACTGCCACCATTGTGATTCAGGACAATGTTTAAGAGACATCCATGCAGCTCCTATTGATTTTTCCAGTAGAGGGGAAAAGCTGGGAATTATATGGAGGTTAGAGGCAATTCCATGCAGCTTGGATCACAGGCAGAGCACATCACTGTTCCCCGCCTTCACTCTGCAATCAAATCTGTATTTAGAGTTCAGAATAAAAGAGGTTCAATGTTTGTCTCCCATCTTCACTCTCCTCTCCCTCCTCCTTTACTTCAAGAATGTCTTCCCAACAAAACCATGCAAACAAGTGATCACAAGCAGGGAATGGTTGGAATTGCTGCTCTTTGTAGCTCTCAAATTTATCAGAGTGATTTGCCATGTCTACCAGTAATACAGCCTAAGCATGTAAAAGAAATCCTCTGTTCCTGACACAGTGCACCACTGTACAGCCTGGCAGTATTGTAGAGGCTCAGTGTTCAGAAATGCACGAGTGCTGCAAAACACAACTGGGACACAGAGCCATCTACCAAGCATCCAAAAGTTAGCTCCTGACTTCTTCAGACATCACCTTCTGGCTGACAGCTCTTGGCTAGGACCACTTTGGTCTTTTTTTCTTTGCTTCCAATGGTCTTTCCTTAAGGAAAATGTTCACTGTTCAAACCTAAATCTAACTTAAGCAGTCGCTCATGCATCATCCCCTGCTCCTCAGGTGGCTGGCTATCATCCTTCACTCAAAGACAGCAGCATAATTCACTGCAACATCCTACAGGAAGCCTTCCAATAGCATTTGCTGAGCTACTAAAGCTTCTATTTTACCACACCTTTCCTTGTTGTTTTTAACAGAATGATCAACTTGCTTTCCTTGTGCTGGTGCCATGCCAGAGAATGAGCTTCATCACCCTCTTATTGCAGCTGAAAGCCTTGAGCTGGTAGCTTACCATCCAAAGGGTAAGTCTGTAGAACCATAGTCCTTGATTTGGTGAACAACACAGTTGTGTAAAAACCAGTTAACTTTTCAGTGAGCACCCCAAATCAGAATCATGAACATTGGAAGACTTGGGTTTGCTGATGGGTAAGAATTTTCTAATTAATGATAAATAGCTTCCAATTTGTGACAGTGACATCACTCCATAAGACTGTGGCTAACAAGCTCTGCTGCTAGAAGCTCTCCCCATCATTACTAGAGGAGCTGGCATATTTCTCAAGATGCCTGCCCCACTTCTTGTTATCTTTTTATGAAACTTGATTTCACTGTGTGCACACATATGCCTGTCCACCCTCCTACAGCTGAGCTCTGACAGCTTTTCCCAAGAGGATGCACAGAAAAGAAACATTCTGTGACCCCACCAAAAGGAAGAAATTACCAAATACTTTCAGGTCCATTTCAGAGATCAAGAGACTGGAAACCAGGTTTGCTACATACATGGCTCAAATTTTTTACCCATATTGTCTCAGTGTTTGGAGTGGTGCCATTTTTATAAAAGCACTTACTTTTACACTTCAAGCTACCAAATGAAGTAACATTTTCCAGAAACAGCATACAAAATCTAAAAGAAAAATTAAAATCAGATATTTTTTTCCATTAAGATTTTCTGCCTCAAGCCAGTCGTTGCTGCACTGGAAGCAGCTGAGCCTGCTTCTGGCGACTTGCTCACTATCCCACTCTCTACCTCGATCTATTTTGCCACATTCCCCTTTAGTCTTACACAGCACCGAAGCCCCAGCACCCACACACGTCCCCTGCACTGTCAATATTTGGGTCTCTTCCCATGCCCAGCTGAGGGGAAGCACGAGAGCACACGAAGCTGTGGTTAATTCTGGTCTGCTCACACAGTGACATGCCCACACACACAGTAATTAGTATATTGGTGGCTAAACAGAACAAGCAACTGTTGAATTTACACTATAGTTCCTCCCACTACAAAGTTAGTAATTTGTATCCCTCTAATGTAGCTCCAACTTCTGAAAAAAAATTGTAGGAAATGATTCTCAGCTCTGAGATCTCTGCCAGTCTGTAAAGGCTGGGCCAGATGAGCATGGATGATGTCAGGGGTCTGGTACACGTCACTGACTGTGCCTCATCTCCTTCAAAATAAGGAGAGAAAGAAAAAGGAGAAGGGTCAAAAATGACCAGAATACTACTTCTGAACCAATGAATCATTGGTTCATTCTTTGAAACAAAAGCCCCCAACAACATTTGTGCTGAATTTGCTAATTTTACCCTGTAGAACTGACAGGCTAATAAAGACAAAACACAACACGTAGATTTACGCAAGAACAGACAAGGAAAGTAAAAGACCAGAGGAAGCAACAACGTTTTGCAGATTTTAATGTAGGTCAGTCAAGCTCAGAAGTAGTTTTATTGTATTTTTGGGGGATTTTTAGTATGGAATCAAAAATATTTATGGTTCAAAGAGTCTAGTGAATGTCTGTGTGTTCACATTCAAGTGAGCAGTTTCCTTCCTGCTGACACAGTTCCGAAGAAGGGCCTGTAAAGTTCCACAGTCCAGTGCAGAGGACATTTCATACAATGGTAGAAAAAGAGAAAGAAAGAAAGTCCAGAGCTGCTTGCAGAAATAATGGATGAGAGTACCAGAGGTGCGAAAATGCAAAGGAGAGAACAGATCAGCAAGATTTTAGGACCTGTGATCATTTGAAGAGTACAGTTCTTCTGAGGAGCAAAGCCTAAAAAAGGGTAGTGATTTTGTGGAAAATGAGAAAGGAAGGAGTAGTTGTAGCAACCAGTATGTTTAAGACCAGTAAAAAGTTGCAACAACACACAGAGGATGAGTAGAAAAAAAGTTGATTTGGGAAATGGCACAGCTGAAAAAGCAGGAGGATTCGAATGTGGTTCAAATGAAGTGTCAAAACATTGCAGGGTCCAATTGGCAGCTCAGTTGTGGCAAACTGCAGTGAGAATGGAAGGCAAAAAACTTCTCAGAAGAGGCTCATTTTTAAATGATGACAAGACTCCTCTTTTAGAGAGAAAAAAGGACAGTGGAGAAAACACCTAAGGCAAAATCAGAGTGGAAAGAGAATGAAGAAAAATCCTCAGTACTTTATAAGTTAAGCATGACAGCACAATAATATGCCCCGAGAGCCTGCTGTTGCTGTCTAAGAACAAAGAAATGAGTTTTCATTTCTTACTAGCATGAAACTCTTTTCTTAGGAGAACAAGTACAATCATTTTCTGCTACCCAATGTTACAACACCAATGGACAAATTAATGGTGCAGCTCTTCTAACTACAAAGAGCAGATAAAGAGATTCTGCATTTTACAACACTAGCTACATTAACTCAGCTTTCCAACTGGTGCTTGCCACGAGGCATCAGGTCTGCATTCAGATTTAAGTCTCATGTTGTTAACTGAGCAGGGAAACAAGTGAGATTTTATCAGAGTGCCAGTTTCAGTATCTGCAGTACCTGGAGATTTAAGAAAGCAAGACAAACTGGATGGCCTCTGTCACACTGAAGGGAGTCTGAGTGGGAAGAGTTACAATTGTTATAAACATAGTGATCTCAGAAGGGGAAGTCTAAAATACAGCTCTGGAACAGCACACTTTATCACAGAGATAACTGAAAGATGTTGAGCTTGACAACTTGCTCAGCAGCTAAAAGGAAAATTTTGGGACCAAACAGAAGCCTTTGCGTAACTAGCCAGTGGTTAGCTGAGAGTAGCACCATTCCCAAAGGATTAACAGGTATGTATATCATGTGAGCTCTGCACATCCAAGTAAAATATCTGCTGTCTGCTAGCAGGAGGCCCTGCATTCATTCTAACTCGGGTATTCTTCTGCAGTGAGAAAGAATAAATATGCCTCTTGCAACCTGTTCAGAGACAATGTAATCTGTTCCAGGCAATGACTTCACACCCACCATTCAAAGCTTCAAACACAGCTGTACTGAGACCATACAACTTCAAGGGGATATTATTGTAAAATGAACAAGTAATTTTGCACCTACACCAGAAAGAACAGTAACATTTAGTGCTCACAATGTTTAAAGACTATGGCATTCCCTGAACAAAAGGTACGGACAAGCAGCCTCCAAACAACCCCAGAGCTCCCGCTTTAAAACTGAAATTGCCCTGTGGTCAGTTTTATCCTCCTAAGCACTGTCTCCTATTGTAACCCATGCAAAATGATGCTCAGCTTCAGCCTTTACAGAAAAAAAAAGATTCCAGGAACCCTGTAATTTCCACTGACAGTCTAAAACATCTCTAAATGGGGAATTACTGTCTTAATTGCACTGAATATGGCAAAAATAGCTTCCTTCTAATATCACTGGACTGCATCCTAAGAAAATAAGAGATATGCAGACTTCTTATGAAAGCTTCTATGTTCCAACAGGTTTTGTGAAAAAAATAACAGCTAGATTGAGAAGAGAAACCCCTACCAGCTGCTGTCCCTAGAAAGCCTGCAGCCAGCTGGCTCTCATGGACCAACCACTACAGACAACAAAGAATACAGCTGCAGGCAGGACACATGTTGCCTTCTGTCCAGCCAGAGCTAAGGGCAAGGAAAGAGAGCTGAGGGCATGGGGAGAAAAGTACACAGCAAATGGAGGAGGACATCTGTAAGCCTGCACATCACAACTAGAGGAAAGAAATCAGGATTTACTGCAAGAGGAGAGGGATGCAAATCCAAGGAAAGCAGGGTTTCCTTAGTGCATGTTCACAGAACATTATGCTACAGCAGTGGCTGGACTCCCTCACCAAGCTGCCTGCTGCCAAGCACCACATATGCAGTCTGCATCAAGCCTGCAACACTTTGAACAGAGCAGAAAAATCAACACCTTATGTTTTCAAACATTTTCAAACGCTAATGAAATATACAAAAATCTCTCCATAACAACCTATTTCCTAAAGCTATAGATGTAAATATACAAAGAGATAATTTTCAGAAAAAAACAGCCTGCAAATTGCTTGCTCAGGCAACATGAATACACTGCAAGAACTGGTGATTAATCAAAGCAGATGCCTACAGTTACACAGGCTAGTAATGACCTAAAAAGCACTTATAATGGAAACCCAAAGTATTTTGAACTTCGCCTTTTCTAAAATATGATTCTAAATCTGGACTTTAGAATTGGGTCAAACCTACCACATTTTTTTTCTGAAAATACATGGAAAACGAACAACGCCATTTTCGGGGAGAGATATTTGAGTTTATATACTTTTCTACCAAACACTGTAAATAAGCACAAACCCCCCTATTTAAAGTACCAGAGACACAAAAATTTTCAAACCTATTTAAGCTGCTTTTAATAAACTTTATTGAGCTTGTAGAAAGAATTGTATCCCTAATTTGTACAATGTGTGTACATGTACTTCATTCATGCCATGGTTATAATAACAGTGTTATCATTTTAATGACTGATGCACACAGATTTCTGGCTCTACATTCAATCTTTGAAAACACCCTGGAATTGTGATCACATGGAAGGCACTAGGCACCTAACGAACATCAGCAACAAACAAGTCCACCAAGCCAGCACTGCTGACATACACATTAGTAACTAACCTGACCTCTCTACTTACACATCTTGCTCCTTTTTAACTGTTTAACCATTTTGAACATGAAAGCTTTCATATGTCTACTGCAAGGCTTTCAGTAACTACCAGCACACCTTTCCCTCACTACTAGAAACTGACCTAATTTCAAGAATCAAAGATACCTCCCCATCCAACCCCCCAGAATTTGACAATCTCTTGATTGACCTGACAATCTCTTCTAAAAAAGCCTGGTAATGTAATGGGTACTTTGGGCCTGAATGTGTTGATTTAAATTTCCATTTGATTATGGGTTAGAAAATTTTAGAACCTAAAGAGCTGTAAGCTGCAAAAAGATCCATAAATGCAAAATAGAAACACGGGTGTGTAGAAAACCAGTGCCGCAAACGCTTCTAAATTATTCTCTCCTCATCCAGCAGAAGGTGAGCTTTGACATCTACTAATGAAACAGCACACTGATTGCAGTATTGAATGCTCTCCAGCCATCAGTGTGGAAACTACACTCATCTCCTCCTGCTTTTTCAAGGCAAGGAAGGCAGCCACCACAGGCAAGACAGAAAGCAGCATCAACTCTAATGCCCAAGAGCATTTTATCTGCTGAATCACAGACATGGCAATTAAGTCTAAACAGTGTCACCGTTAAAATGGTGACATTTATCACACTCTGCTATCTATCTTTAAAAAGAGTATTTGCTGAGGCTCCTAAAATTAGAAGGGAGCACACTGCAAATACCATGGTAACTACTTGGCATGGTAAATCAAGGTCCTTAAGGCTCCCACACAGACTTGCTGCTATTGTGACTAGAGTTATCCAAATGGCACCTAAGCATTCTTACTACTTACCAAGCAGAAATGCTACCTTGGATTAAACTAAGAATAAAACCAGGGGCTTACTCACTCAAAATAGCAGTAGGATTTTTCTGACGTTAATGAGTAGCTCAAAACTGCTTTAAAATAATTTTATTTCTACTATACATTGTAAAGACAAAGCTGGACTGATATGAAACTGATTTTAAAACACAAACAAATTGCACTTTGCAGAGAGAGCTCCCCCCAAGCAGCTCAGGAAAGAACAGGGACGAAAAGAAAGGAAGGAGAGAGATGGTACAATGGAAGACCTTACACATTAAAAGAAATAAAGATTGTTCATGTTGCATGAGATCAGCCAGAATCTTCAGAAAACAGTTGTTGGATTTCATGTGTCCATTTTGGTTTTTAACACCTTCAATGACAAATTGAGGGTACAGATTACTTATTCAATAAAAGCAGGATGGAACAATGTTATCTAAAGAATTGTGCCTCCAGACCTTGCTTTAAATTCAGACCTCAATACATTGGTAATCTTGGAAGCTCTCTCTCGCAACAATAACTCCTTTGGGTTATTGTTACACTGATGTTCCAAAACTGAAAGAAGGCTGCTGGTGTCACAGACAACTGAAAACTAATTACCTATAAATTTGGTTGCCAAACACCAGTAGCAGATCCCAGAAATAGGCGGCCACAGAAGTTTCCTTAGTCTTTTACAAGAATTTTACTCTCATGTTACAAGGAATGTTTTTAGCCAGGAACAACAGCTGCTGATTTAAATATTTTCCTTTCCCTTTAGCAATCTCTCGGAACATCAGTACAGAAGTGCTCATAAAGCAGACAATTTGTATATACACAAGGAAGATAGATGGGATAAATAGGTGTGCACTATGTACATTGTTAAGAGATATCAACCCTCCACACATACACACACAATGCTGAGCAAAAATAGAACCATCTCAGATTACAGGTGATGTGGGAATGCGTACGGAGGGAGAAGACACAGCTGTCAAAGCACAGAAGATACAAACAGGTGGCATGGGGCTGAGAGTCCTTGTCAGAGCACTTACAAGTAAAACTTCTCTTCCCATACAGGGTTCAGATTCCCAAAGATCGTTTTTGTCCTCTTCTTTGTTTTACCCACTTGAACCGTTACATATGGATCACTGGACCCCGTCTTGTCTTTGGCCTGCAGACCCTGAGCACACACCACTGAAAGGAAAACAGAAGTGTTACCACACCCTGCCACAAGACAATGTATCTGACCACCACCCCTAGTATGGGCTCATAATGGCCAGAAAACAGGAATATCCCTCAGGAGAGCATTTCTGATGGGCCTCCGCTCATGGTGCACTACAGCACCTGCAATAGGGGTATTTGCACCTGCTACCTGTATGTGCACTCAGCAGAAAGACACAGAGGTCAGAGAAGCTCTTCCTCCATGTTATAATTTCATACCAACTCTCTTACTTGAGGCTCCCAAGTGAGACCAAGTGAACCCATGACTATCCCACTCACCAGTGATTGTGATCTTTGCTGACCATTTTGAGGTACCATCCAGCACGCTCTGTTTCACTGTCTTCATCTGCTGAGCATGTGTCATTTTGCTCTCACAAAACACATCTCTGATCAAGTCGAAGATCTCAGGCTTGTTCCGCTCCCGGATTTTCATGCGATCCTTCATGGCCATGATGAAGTTCTGGGTCCGGTCTTCAGCTCCATGCTTCGAGCTCTTCTCCGCTGCTCCTGTGCACCCAAAAATACACAATGCTCATCAGGAACAAACACACACAAAATCATGTCTCACTGAATCTGGACAGGTGGATCAAAGCTACAAGTTACCCTTCACATGATGGCTCCTGATACTGACGTTCGCACTCTGCTCCCCCTGTTCCAACATACACAGAGAACTTGGGCCATTTGGAGGCAGAGGGGGTAGCTCCTCTATAACCTGGGATCAGATTGCCCTCCTAACAACAGGTTAATTTAACATCCTTACAGCTGAGGAACTGAACGGGAATGAGGTTCTTAAATTAACAGCACGGTGGCCTCTGCCCTCAGCACCTTGCTATGAAAAAATAAATCTTTGCTTGGGCAAGTGCTACCTCCATTACAAACAGCACCTATGAGCTTGTCTCAGTGCTGCACTTCAGCACCACAGAAGAGAAGCTCAGATGGGTCTCCACTGTCAGCATTTTCTACCCATGTGTGTCACCAAGCTCCCTGCTGAGCTCCGTGTCACAGCAAATCTATGTCTCCTGCTGCCTGGAACCACCCTGTCTGGATCAGGCACCAAGCTGCAGGAACACAGAGTGCCTCTCTGCATGCCATTCTATTTTATCAGTTCACACAGAATCAACTCAAATAATCAATTTCTAGGACTGCATAAGTATATTAACTACAACAAATACCTGTAAGATAGCAAACTCAACAGTTCAAAACTTGGGCCATTATAAGCATGTAGTGCTACCACAGTGTCCAGCAGCTGGAAACACAAGAGCCAGGCACAGAGTCTGCAACTGCACAGGTAGACAATTTCATCTGACAAAAGAGAAGCCTCTGGTTGCTTGCATACATCTTAAAAAATTTCAAAGTTCATCTAATTATGAGATAAGACTACTCTCAACACCAAATACTTCCTACTCAATTCTGTCAATCATTTTTACTGTCAAAATTTAGAAATTGACTACTGTGTCAGATGAGAGACATGCATCAATAAAAGCACCAATGTGAGCTAACAGGGCAGGTAACTCAGGTGTGAAATGAAAAGCAGGAACTCAGGGTTGCACACGGTCTCTCTATACACAGTCTGCAGCAATTTCAAATTATGATCTTAAGTCAGATTAAGTTAAACCAGGACAAAAGTCCTGTGAACACATCCAAACATAACCTTTCTGTTTAATGTAGTACACTTTTGTTTGTTTTTCTTCTCCAGGATAGTTTAATTAAAGTAAGCTTAGTCCTAGGAAAAATGTTCTCATTCAGATATTCACCAAATATTAAATTACCTTAAAAATATGTATTAAAGCAGGTGCAAGGTGTGCGCAAAGGGAGTCATCAATCCACAAAGATACATGAAACTGTTTTCTTCCAGAAGTGAGCAAATATGATATCTGAAGTACCCTTGCTATAAGGAACTACAGTTTTGCATATGAAACTGTTTCAGCAAGTAGTGACTAAATATGAAAACGTCCTCTGAACACACACACACACACACACACAGAGGAGCCCAGCAGTACATAACCAAAGAGAATAAAAACAGTTTCAGCTTGCAATAGACTGCAACCACTGAAGTGTCAGAAGTTCATTAAGAACACTGCATACCAAAGCGTGTTATTAAGGACTGGGGTGTGAAACAAGCCATAATTTTACATTACCTGAGTACTTTTTCATTTTCCTTGCTAGAGGCTTGATGTTCAGTATTCCATTTAGTATAATAAAAAGTACATGCCCCAGAGTTTCCTGTTGTTGGCTTAAGATGAAATGAAATCAAAAATACTGGAATTAATTACACAGTCCCTGCTGTTTCTACTCACCGGTGATGCACCTAACATTTATTAAGGGAATATGAAACTGAAATGATACCAGGGGCTATGCTTTGAACTTCAGATAAGAAGTGCTATTCAGCTTTAAACAGAACTAGGTCTCCTGAGGATGGAGACGGACTCTATGCTTTTTATGAAGAACTACAGAAACCTGCTGGGAAATTGGGGAAGGCCAAACTGAACAATCTGTCTTTCCTAGCTGGAATTCTGAGATCTGTCATAATCCAAAGAAATCAACTCTGCTCTGACCTTTCTGACTTCAAAGAAATTAAGAACCAATTAAAACTAGCCTTAATCAAGCATTGCAAGAGCATCAAATGAGGCTTACAATGCAAGTTCAGACAAATGGAGGAATTCTAATTTAAAATATGTTTAATATCCCCACAACCTCCAGAGACCTTGCACAGTGGATTTATCCTTCTGCAAGCCTAGCAGAAGTCCAGGGCATCCTGGGTTGCAGGATGTTCAAGCCATGACACACAGACCCCTACAGCCCTCTGTCACCTCCAAGACTTGGCTCTGCCTTGTGACTCCAGAGGAAATCCCCCAACCTCCACCCACACTGCTTACCCACTATGCCCAGACAGTATGCCCAGGCAGCTTCATTAATCCTTCCCTGGAAAAGATCTCTCTCTGCCTGCAGAGACTGTGCCTGAATTGCAGGGCCAAAGCCTGAATCAGACAGACACCTTATTTAACAATACAGACAAACAACAGACAATCTCTGTTCTGCTGTCTCAACAACACACTCTTTCTTAATTTTGACACCTGCTTCTTGGTACAAAACCAAGAGGGCTTCTAAACCAACCATTAGGGGACTAATTAACTATAATGTATGTGTTTTAAATGCAAAACATGTCACTATACTGAATGGCAGAGGGTGCTTTTCCTGCTCATGGACTGGGATTCTTTCTGCAAGCTGCAAAGACATTTTTGGTCAATGGATTAGCTTTTCAAATCCTGTGAATGAAAACAGAAAGGCATTGAAATATACAAGTAACATGTACAGGTTTTTGGCTTTCCTTCTTCTTCTCTATGACAGAATTATCAGTCAATTTATGACTGGAAACAGAAAGCAAATGTATCTATATTGGGAATTGTATTGATATAGCAATTAGTAAACCAACAGTGCTGTTATTCTATGCTTTAAGAAGAATTCAAGAAAGCAACACTGTCAGGATAGAAAGCAGCTGTTCAGTAGGCGGATAATGCTCAAAATGATATATTCTTGGAACTTAAAATAGATATTCAAGTTTCAAATAAAGGTATCCTTCTTCCTTCTGTGCAAATATTTTCCTACACAGGACTCTGGGAGCAAACAACTGTTCATCACCATGGTGTCTAACTATCATTCAACTCAGAAGCCAAGATGATTAGCACATGACTTAATTCGTCTGACTAACCCCCCACTCACTGACTCGGTCTTGGAACTGCAGCCTCTGAACTCAGAGTACAACACACACAAGTTTCTCATCCAAAAAGCAACAATCACACCTGCCTCAGAGTCCTGAGTCAAAATGCACTGAACAAAAAAGCTAGCCCTGAACTGTACAGGCCTCTTACCAGACTCCTGCTCACATAATGTCCTTCCCTTCCACCCTCTTGGTAATTACTTCTCTGTATTTGTTCCTTGGTCTCCTACTCATCCAGCCCCGGATTTACTCTTTCTTTGATACCAGAATTGCCCAACCCATTGTAATTCAGTTAGTACTACACTAATACTCAAGGTAAGAGACAAAAGCTCAGTTTCCAAAAGCATCAAACGCCCTGGGGATGTTAAACAACATCCCTCTATCCACTCTCAGTCAAGTAAGAAAGGAAAAGTACCCATTCAGAAGAGACTTCTAGTACTTCCAAGAATAGCAAATGGCTAAAAAGCCATTGCTGTCCCTTGAGCAGGTATTTATGAGCTTATGATAAAAAAATTAAGTGCCCTATTATCAGAATAATAACTCCTAAGTACCTAGCACACTATGAACCAGGAGGCTGCAGTACACATACCACAACTGATTCCAGGTTATTGCACTTCAGACACCACCAATTCATGGAATAGTCCTGCTGAAGCAGTTTGCAATGGGGTTTGATTCAAATTGCAACAAAGCATTGCTGAACTTTTCACCAGTGCAGTCCCACACTGATGATAAATTTGTTGAGTGTATCAGATAATACATTTCTTAAAAATACAGAGACAAAGAAAAATACCCTCAGAAGAGAGAATCAAACTTAATTCTACAAGACTTGGAGAATTACTTTCCCCAGAAAGGTATGAAGGATGGAAAATGGATAAACAGCACATTCTAAATCCAAAGAATAAAACCCAGGTGGTCTACCCAAAATTTTAAGGCATAAACAATGGAAAAGTATTTGTGACCAGCCTTAACATTCATTTTACTCCAATGCAACATTTTCTGCAAGACTTACACAGATTGAAGTGAATATATATCCTGAGGCATCAAGGTATAATCAATGAAATTGTATCTGTTACCAGTCTGAAAATTCATTTTACTCCACTGTAACATTTTCTGGAAGCCCTAAACAGACATAAGTGAATATATGTCCTGAGAATGTTTTGGATTTTTTGCAGACAGCAACAATAAAGCTTCTGTTAGGAAAAAATCCCTCAGGATTTCAGTATACAAGAAAGTTCAGTCTTGAATTTATGGGATCTCTAAACTGATGTTTGTCCCCCAGACACCCTGCTTCTCATTCCTCAAGCACAGACTATGTTCTTCAAATATATGTATAAAAAGAAATTAAACTTCTCCATTTTCCTCTGACTTCTTGGGTTCCAGTTAGAAGAATTTTAGCATGAACACATTAAAGCAAAGAACACAGTTGCCTGAAATTGCCTTTAAATACATTTCTAGTATTGATAACAATTGTTTTCCCATTCCAGAGGTACATTCACCCCCTTCTCCAACTCCCACCACTATCCTCTGTCTTTTCTATCTTTTCATTACACAATTATCATCTCCAGCTTCCTCTGCATCTCTATCCCAGCTAATGATACCCTCCACATCCACAGTGGGTAACCCTGCACATCTGCTCACAGTTTCTCTTCCTTGACTCTGGACACCTTACAAGTAACTCAGTAAGTAAAATTTTGGTTTGGTTGAGTTTTACCTTTCTACACACTTCACACTTTTTAAGCCTGGTGTACTCAGTTGTTTCCTCTGTTTCTGTAACTCTGCATGATGAAGTATCCTGAGTTTATATTTTGAAAGAAAATGTGAAAATATCTGCAGCCCCCTGAATAAAATAACAAGTTCTTATTTAATGCTTTGTCATATATGGAAAGTAATTTCCAGTTGTTTCTTCTATTCTATAGAAAAACACACATTATTGCCAACATCACATCCCACAGACCATTTCATAATACTATGTAATTACAATTAGAGATAAGAAAACCTTCCCCCCATGGTTATTCTTCAGAGTCTCAGCTTCTCAGCTCCAGAGACTCCTTGTTCTCAGGGAGTCTGAATCAGTGAAGTTGCCTTCTACCTTAACTTTTCTCACAGCCAATTTAGCCCTTTTACTCTTTCATAAACAATAACCTTAAAAAGGTCATTTTATCCCTGTAGCTCATCTCCCTCTTCCCCCACACGGTGAAAGCATAAACAGGTTCAGACAAGGACCAAACCAGTTCACAGAGCCATCGCTGCCATCTATGAAACAGTATCTACTGCCCAGAAAGGTTTTAAGACATGGATATCTGTAAACTGTAAGAGTAAGCCAGAGTCGTAGCAGGTGCACTACATGCGTATCTATACCTCTGCCCTGGGCTCTAAAACATCCCTTTAGAAACATTCTATTAGGGAATACCTAGTATGACCTTTTTTATTTTTTTTTTGAAACAGCATGATTCCCTCCCTCCTGTCCCAGACTGCCAAGCATCTCTTTTGAAAGATTAACAATCTTGTATCATCTCCATTCTCATATTTCTCCCATTACTATTGAAATTTCTCCAGTACCCATTCCCATCTGCAGTCTCCCTTCTTGAACATGGATAGCCACAATCCTCCTCTGCAGGAACATACTTCCTCTTAGTCATTAGCTATTTCTTTAATACAGAGGTTTTTCCCTGTTGTTTTCAACTTCAGGACTACTGCTCTGTACAACAGCTTTGTGCCTGTTTCCTCTCCACTGCTGGTGCAAATCTAATCCTCCTCTGTTCTACCCAGATTTCCCCGTTACTGAGATACCACAACTCCCTTGCATTACAGCATCATGGGTATGCATCTGAATCCGTGGATGCCTTGAGCTTTTCACCTCTAACACTGAAAATTACCAGGCAGCAGACAGTTCTGGTGAACTCCAGAAATAAAAAGATTGTGCTCAGGAACTGACCCTGAGCATCAGACTGTGACAGAAAACTGAGCTATGACCAAACTCAATTCTCCTGCACCAAATGCCCTTTGCTTAGTCACAGAAAGGCCTCAACAAAGCCAAGGTGCCAATAATGCAATAAGTGCTATAAACTCATCTCCCAGCTCTCAAATACAAATCTAGAACTGCTGAGCAACTGGGAGACAGAGGTGTTTGGCCAGGATCAGATGTATTTCACAAACAAGCCATTGTAAATAGCCCTAGACCTAACTGACAACATTAAGACTGCACACATCAAAAATACAAGTAGAAACAATATCCATTTGGATGTTAAGAAGAGTGGTAAGAAAAAACAAATGACCTCTGATTCATGGGTATCCCTTGCTGAATCACTCAGCCTGGCTTTCCCAAACAACTACAGCCCAAGTCAGATCACAAGATCTGACTTTTTAAATTCATAGAATTGCTGACAAGAATTTGCAGTAAGTCTCCCCATACTTCACAAACTTTTCTGATTCCTTAGACTTAGCCCATCAAGCTACAGTGACAATAAGAGTGAACAAAAAGAGCTACATCTTCCTATTCAACATTTAACACACACGGAAACTTCTATTCTATTTAGACTGAGGTATTTTGCTCTCAAGCAGGAATATATATTTGAGACTGAATTAAGAAATGGTATTTCAAGCAAATAAGAATAACTGGACCAAGGCAGATGCCTAAATAAATACTTTTTTTCTCTTTTTTTTCCCCTTTAATCAAATTCCTCTTAAACTTCTCATCGTTTGTGTAAGGTATCATTTATTATGCAAAGTTACAGAGTTCCTTGAAGAGACGACTTAGTTTTTTATTTAGTTTTTTATACCAACAAAATAATCAGAAATGCTAGCAGGAAGACCATATACTCAAACAATACCTTTGTATCTGACTCAGCATCTCTGTTAACTCAGCTCTAGGTCTCTAAAGTGGGTCAGCCATGCAGGCCTACTGTTGAAAAGACAAAATGCCTTTCCAGGCTGCTGTTGGTACAGATAATGCAAGCTAAGTACAGGAACTCTATACCCTAAGCAGGAGCCCAGTGCTGCTCTAAAAACCTTAAAATAGTGGCAAAGACTGACTGTTTTGGAATAAGCAACCTGACTGCAATACCAGGGCAGGGGGGACAGAACAAATGTCAGAATATTCTGCCTCATACCCTATTCATCCAACCCATACCTCAATGCAGGATATGCTAGCAAATACACAACCTGAGCTGACACAAAGAGAGCAAACAACAGAAAAACAAACCAGCAAACAAAAAAATCAATCAAAACCAACAAACAGATGTGAAAGAGTAAAGAATTAAACCTTCTTTAAAAGGACATCAAGTGCAATGCTGTGAAGTTTTTCCGTATCAGTGGAGGTGTCTGTGCCCCCAAGGAGGTAGGTTTAGCCCAATGGCACCTTTTCAGAAAACACAGTCACTTCAATCACTGCAGCTTCACTGATCCCTGAGATATCAGCAGTACATTTAGGAAGGCTCTGGCAACAATTTCTGAAGCAGCCACACTCCACTGGCCACTACTCACTCTGCAGGCAGTCAGCATTGAGCAGGTCTTGGCACTTCTCGTGGCACTTGACCCCGCACTCCCCGCAGCGCATTCCCTGCCGCGCGATGCCCCACAGCAGCCCCTCACACTCGTAGCAGTAGGTAGGAGTTGTGGCTGTCCACACTTCAAAGTTGTGTGGGGTTGTACAAGAGATGGGGTAAATTAAGGCTTGCAAGGTCTTCTTATAGACATGAGATTTCTGAAAGGCAAGAGCACATGTAAACCAATATCCAGGGAGGTGACTGAGCCTATTTTTGCTGGTTAACGCAAGAGTTTTACAGGAAAAGGCATGACCAGTGCTATAAAGCTACATATTTGAGGTGGACAAATGCATCAAATTTTTACATGCAGTGTCAGAGGACACCCCTCGCCTTCCAAAAGCGTCTTCCCAGGTGTTAAAAAAATTGGAAGACAACAATTAATGTTTGTGGATGGGAAGTATCTTGAATAAAGCAAGTTTCACACACTCTCCCTTATGGCAGATAGCACAGAAGGAAATGGCAAGATTACTGAGATCAAAAAGTGTTTGACAGCATCATCAAGGCAGATGATGTCTCTTGTGGTGTCCTATGGAGGACCAGGAGTTGAACTCAATGATCCTGGTGGGTGCCTTTCCAACTCAGGATATTCTGTGATTCTGTGCTTCTAATTGATACATTACATATTACTTTTACGTGTTTAGTTTCTTTGACCAAATGATACAGGAAGATTTGCATCTATATTTCTAGACATCTGTGAAGCTGGCTCTGAATCTCAGAGAGCCAAATCCCTTTAATTTGCTTAGTCAGAATTAAGGGAAGTCAAGTAACCCTCCCACTTACCAGCTCTTCATCTTTGAGAGATGTTCTAGTAGCCATTGCTGAGGTAATTCCGGCTTTTCGGGACTGAACCAGTGACTAGGGAAGAAGAAAGTTTGTTATTCACCACCAACGTTTACAAGTGCAATGGCATTACATGCCCAGAGATGTGAGCAAGGGGACTCTGTCATGCCAGACACCAAACCAGCAATCTACTGCATTTAAGTTGGTTCCTCACATCTCAGAGAAGTTAAATGCATACTCTGAAAGGTCTCCAACTGGTTTCCATCTGTCCATAATCAGTCCCACTCTAGTAAATTTCTATTTGTTTCTCTGCAAGAATTGCCAATGAAAACTGGGTTCCCATCTCCACTTTTATGTTCTGGTAGCAACAGTAGCCCTTCTACTGTCTGAGGTCACTACAACAGACTCACTTTTGTGTTATCTAACTTCATTCACATCCAAAGGGAGATTATTTCACCAGTTTTACAAAACATACAACACCCCAAAATGTGACAGTAAAGAGGTTGCAAGTAATGAGGATAAAAGAAAGGGGAGTGAGATGGGAGCAGAGGTTTGAATGTGACGGTGTATCACATTCATTAGCCATCACTGAACACAATGAACTGCATTTTCCCCTCAGAGAACTGCCTTTCACATCGTGCCAACACTGCTTTGTAGCTGTGGACAGCACAGGGCACTGTCTTTGCAGCACCTCACAGTGGCATACATGTGATTTCTACTGCCACTCCAGTAACATGAAGGCAGAGAAAGATAGTTAAGATAGCAGCATTTGCTTTGAAATCATCCAACTCTATCAGTTTTGTACCATTATGTTCTGCTTTATGCTGTTTCAAGAGAAACTGAAAAAGTTCATTCCAACAGTGATGGAGCAGGACAGAGTGTTGGATACGCATTCACTGCAATAAGGTAGGTTCAAAACAAAAAGCAAAGAAGTAGAGGGGGAAATAACATAAAGTAAGAGGTTTTTTTCTGGTAAAGACTTGATGGATAGTCTTCACCTCCACTTACCATGGCCTGTGAAGAGAGAGAATGAATGCATTCAAGGGAAGTAACAGAAGTTAATGCCATTATTGCAATGATTTAAGATACAAGCAGTTAGCTAGACACATACCAAGCAGCCCATGTATAAGCTGGCAGACAAAATTTTATGCATCTTTTCACAAGAATTACAGGATATAGAAACTTTGGTCTTTCAGCTGTTACAGCATTTCTCTCAAGTATGAAATTGCTACGTGTACTGAATACAACCAACAGAAAACCATTTGTCCTGCAGAAGCCTTATTTCACCATATCATACTAGCATATGAAAGTTGTCCTCATTACTCACTTGGTTCTCATGCTTCCTCAGTGCAGAAGTCTACTGGCAATATTGCAAATAGCTTTTAAAATCGAACCACATATGCTCGTTTATCTATCCTCTAAAATTCCAGCCTTCTGGTAAGCTGCCAAACCTCACACAGACATTATAACTTTTCCTAAGGTATGTGATTTTTAGCAAAACCTTTTAAAATTATGCAGGTCTGAAAACGATCAAATATTTTGTGCAAAATAAAAAGGATAAAAGCATGAAAAAGACCCTGATTCCGTGAAATGAATGAAATTGCCTACAATACCATAGCTCATTTTCATTAAGATTTTTCAAGCAGTACTCCTAACCCTTTAGCATAAGAATTAATTTAACAAAACTCTTGAGCTTCTTGAAATGACAATGAATGTGCCCATATATCAAGAAAGTAAAGTCAGTTGTGTAAATTCTGTGTGGCAGAAGAGAAACAAGCAAATCTCTTACCAGATCACTGACAAGTGGAATTGGCTTTTTTTTGCGCAGATCAGGCATGCTATCGATGCCATAGAGACCACCTGCAGGCCTGGAAATTCAGGAGGAAAAAAAAACCTAATTAATTTAGGGTTGGGAGGGATGAAGAGGGGGATGCTTTACTGGAGCAAGAAAAACAGCCAGAAAATTATGCTTAAGAAAGTGTAAAGTTAATGCTAAAAACTATTAAGTGTTTATCTTCTACACATGCAACAATCCACACATTCCTGCATGCTGTTGGTGGTTAGGAGGGAGCACGTCAGAGAGGATCAGCCCTAGGGCAGGATGCTGCCATCTTCTGATTCTAGTCTAGAACATACTTAATACTGGCCCTTGAGGACTGTATAATTATTAGGGAAAAAACTAACATCAGAGGAGAAAATATATTATTTTTATTTCTATAAAAGAAACCATTTGTGGTGCTCAGCATTTCAAGCCATGCAGACCCGTACACCCAAGAGATGGCATTTGCTGGCAGAAGTGACAATGAAGCAAAAGGATGATTACCCCAGCAACAGTCAGAGCCTGATGAAATAAAACACTTTAACCTAATTACTCTTCCCGATGAGACCAGCCTGGATAATTATACCTGGATCCTACCATTTACTGGTAACACCACATGGAAGGAACCCTGTACTTCAAGATGGTCTGTCAATCCAGCTTAAAGGCCTCCAGTAAATGCATCCATCCCTAAGGACTTTAGATAATGCTTTTTCCTAAAGCTGGAAACTGAGCACACACCTCTCTGCTGTAGCTTCCTCCCCACAATGAACACCCAGCTCAGAAGGCAAAATCTGCAGCACCTCTCAGTGTTTCTCTCACCCTCCCCATCTCCACTCTGGTCTCAGACCTTGCTAACATGAAGAATATGGTTTCTGAGGTCTTCTTCTTGATTACAGAGACTGCAAAGGAACCCTGTGCCTCTCCATCCTTAGCCATTGGTCTTCACTCCCTGCCACTCTGGCTTACATGTTTTGGTATTTGTGTGATACACTGTCTGGCAATTTCAGCCTGGTTATTCTGTTGATTTGGTACAACATACCCAGTCAAAATGCTCTGCAAGAAAATTACAGAAAAAAGGAGTATGGACAAACTGTTCTTACAGCCACAAAATCTACCTTTCAAAACAATCTAGGAAATCAAACTGCCACTACAAATTTGCACATGCCGTGAAAATTGTGAGGTTCATAAATGACAAGAGGCAACCTGCAGCCATTAGAGAGCAGGGCCTACTCAAGCCCCCTTAAATAAAGCCAAAGGCAAAAAAACCCCAAACAACAAAAATACCAGCGCGATCATACCTATGCTACAGTGTGAGAATGGACAAGGATGTCACAATCTAGCATGAGGCTGTGACAAAGAGGAAAGCAGTCCATTATTATAGAAACATGTGACAGAATTGTAATAGTGTAATTGACTTTTTTGATGGGGTGTAGGAGGGTGACGTGTCCACGCCATGGCTGAGCTGACAGCTGCTGCTGGCTGAACAAGCCTGGTGGGAAGGTGAGCAGTCACATGGAAAGAGCCCGTGTCAGCTCCTCAGTTTTCCAACAGTGCAGTTTTCCAACACTGGAAATGCTCACAGCAAGGCCACAGTGTTTTTTTTACTGGAGGCTATCATCATTTCTGATAGAGAATTCCAGAAAAACTGTTTGACCAAGTCATACTGCAAAAATCCCTTCTGACTTATTACAGAAAAATCTCACCCACATAAAGAAGAAATATGTTTCTATTGACACATTTGCCTGCTGCCCTTATGCCATAAAACATTTCCGATACTGGTGATACTGTTTTGGAGTAAAATACATGTCATGGCAGACTACTCAGATGATGCAAAGAATCCCAGGATTACTTGAACCACAACACAGCCTATTGATAAGCTTTGCGTCAAGGATTTGTGTAAATCCCTTGAATTATGAAAGCATATATACAACTGAAAGGGAGAGTGTATAACCTGAAAAGATTCAACAAAATGATCACAAGTAAAACTCCAGAGTTAATGCTCCTGCTAACAGTTTTTTCCTACACGATTTCAAATTTTTTTTTCTGATTTAATTGAAAGGAAACTGTGATACTCTGACATTTCCCAGGAAAGAAGAACATTAAAATTGCATGCTTTATAAATTCAAGATGAGCCTATATAAATTATTGTGCTTGAGAACCACATTTAGTTACAACTTGGTTTGTTGCAAAATACTTTTGATAGATTGAGGTTTATGAGAGAAATAGTGGTAAGCCAGGATGACAAACGTATTTGAAAGGTGCTTTTATTTGTCACTGAAGAGGTGTCCTAGTACCTACATAGTTACACACTCAGATGACCTGCTTTTAGCTTGTTAATATTAATAAAAAAACCCTCAATAACAATTCCTAATTTTCAAAAGTGTTGTGCTTTTACCTACGTCAGTCCCTTTATTCAAGCACAACTGCTACCTCGCTTAATAACAGAATAATTGACAGTGCCTCAAATGTGCACAGTGCAGTTTTATATGTAACAGGGTAACTCTCCTCTGCAGTGGATGTAATATTTATAGCATTATTATGGAGAGCTGTATTGAGGAGTGAATAGCATTTCTGTATGAGACGATAATTTGCACTAATAAATAAAATATACAGATATGAGCTACTACACTCAGAGACTGATCCATAATACCAATTGTACCTTTTTTTTGAAGTGGTATCTCCAAAGCCAGTGATTACAGACAGGGAGCTCCTGTTGCATTATACTATAAATGAAAATTGCTTGAAGCATGTATTCATCTTTTAATACAAGCTGTATCACACAGAGGCTTCCATTAAATCTTGACAATCTAAGTAAGCTAAGGTGGTTTACAATAACAGAGGATGACTACTTCCTTCAAAGGACACCACAACTGCAATCTACCCATTGAAAGAACAACTCCAAACATAAATAATTTAATATAATTTGAGGCTAATAAGACGAAATATGGCCAAGGGTTGAATTAAAGGTTTACCTCCCACAACCACCTTCTCTGGGAATCCTTTGCATGGGATGAGTGAGCATGACAAACTTTTGTCAAAAGTATATTAGCCAGACCTTTTAGCTGAATCTTGCATAGAAAAGAAAAAAATTACAGACTAGAGCAAACAATGCCTTGAATTGACAACACATGTTTAAGTAATTCAGGACTTGTAGGTGTATCCACCTTTCAGGCTAGGAAATAATTTGATGTGCATGAACGAATAAGCCGAGTACACTGTCTCCTTGTTACAGCAGGAGAAGGTGCTGTTTATAGTTACAATAAATCACTGCCTCCTGCTCCTGCAAATTGCCAATTCTCCAGCAGCCCACTCACTAAGTCCCAGGTTCCTTGGGAAAAGCAGAGGGTTGCTAGGCAGCTCCAGGCATCCGCAGGTGACAGTTTGTGGGAATACCAACACCACAGAACAATGACTCCAAAAGCAGAAAGCCATATAACGAAGCCTCCAATTTAATTTTATGTTTTATTAGGGAAGCTTCCTTCAGTAGTATGAGAATTAGCTTAAGCAAGCCAACATTTGGCTGAGATTTCAGGGCAAATCTTGCTGCTACTGACTGACAGCTCCTAATGGGTGCCCCACCACCAAACCAAATCACCCTGACCATGTACCAGGCACACAACCTGTAAAACGTGTCACTGTCTTTTTCCTGCCAGAGGATCCCAGGGAAGCTGCCATGCTGGCACCTATTACCACAGAGTGTCATGCTGCAATTACAAAGAGAATTTGTCTGCTCCATTTGCTGCAAGCAGCGTGTTGTGGAGAGAATGCACGACCTGAAACTCTCATCTGTGCAAAACAGGCATGATGAGCAACGCTTTAAAAATACAAATTGCAATAATTTCTAGAGTTAGTGCAGTTTTAATTACTACAAGGAATCGCTGCAAATACAGAAGACTCCCCCAAACCCACCATCTTTTAAGAGCAGAAGACACAGTACTCCTTCAGTGCTACTCTTTTCCCTCTGCTGCCACCAATGACTGATCCAGGAGAAAGGATTTAATGGGGAGCACTCTGAGGTGCTCAGCAGCAATTATGGCTGCATTTAATACTGCAGCCATAAGCACTTGCCACCAACACACTATAGATTATACATTGCAACTACAGCCTTGCTCTTAACCACAGGTCTCTGTGGAAGAGCTGCATGTGCCACCTTCACTGCTTAAGAAGAGACTGAAATACAGCAGCAGCGTGGCCTTCAGTGACGCTTGACCACTTGATTATTTTATTAAAAACATCATAAATGCTATTTTTATTTAGACTGGACTGCAGACTTCTAAAGTATATTTCTAATCATAAATACAGGGATAAAAGATCTCAAAATACCACTTACCCTCCTTTGAGCCAGGGTGGTTTTGATGGATCAGCCTCATCTTGAGCCTGAAGTGGGAGAAGAGAAAAAAATCCAACATGAAATTAGTTTCCAGAAACACCAGAAAATGTATTTGTATTGTATTCTGCAGAAAGGGTAACAGACCACACTGCATGCAGGCAAATGCATACAGAAACTCATTCAAGCAGCTCCAGTGACCAAAATGCCAGGGTAGGTCATACAGACACAGACAGACTAAGCAATTTCATTGAACAGCCAGGACTGGAACCTGTAGAGCCTGTTCAGTGCAACTTTCCATTCACAAGGCAGCCTTGAAGGAAAACTTTTTTTTTTTTTCCCAACTCTCCAGTTACTGGAGAGCTCCTGTTACTACAGGTCACCATTTAACATGAAAGTGGTCACAATGAAGATGTCATAAATTAAAAGCCCTTGTATGAAATGCACAAATGACAGACTAACATGAACCTCTGTATGAACACTTGTGAACTTTGCTCGTGCCCAAATGCAAAGACTCTTTAGTCTCCTAAGCAGAGAGGTCCCATTACAGCTTCACTCATTTATTTGAAAGTATTTCATTTCTAACAGGCATGAAACAAGAGCCACCACCTGCAGGTCAACTGGAATCCCACAGTGTGACGGAAAACACCACAGACTACAAATGTGGGGATTCATATTTATGAATTCAAACCATGTTTTTATGTTCATATTAAGACTACATTTATAGACTGTTTCTCTCCAGATCTTGAGTAGACTAATTAGAAGTGATAAGTATTTGAACACTTGCAATGTACCTGGAAGAAACAATAGGTTCTGGATAAGGGGAAAATAGCTATCTGTAACTGGAAACCTCTTTGTTTCAGCTCACAGGTCATATGTTCTCCTGCACTCCCTGAAAGAAATGCTGCTTTCACACAGGACTAAGAAGGTCACGATGCTAATAGCTAAAACTCCTACCTCAGATAATCACATCTGCCAAGAGAAAAAGGAAGCTGCAACTTGCACACAGCGAAAAAGAAAGTATTTCCAGCCATGGAACTCACAACCTGAGAGTCAACAAAGTAAATGAGCTTGAGTCAGGAAATAAGATCCAAGTTTATGCAAGATAAAGGAACACAGTCCCAGAAGAAAGTTCTTGTTTCTTTTCCTTTTTTTTTTCTCCAATCTGTGCTCTGTGTGAGTTGTGCAACCCCACACTGTTCACAGGTGACAGACAAAGACTCCCAAGAAGTGCTGAAATAACCAAGGAAAGTCCTCTTTGAGGTAACAACTTGAACAGAAGCAAATGTCCAAACTTTGTATTTCTGAATCCTACAAATTAGGGAATTGGCAGATTTAAAGACTACTTATTAGTAATGTTTATTATTTTGTATTTAAACAGATTGAACAGTATTATGTTATCCAGAGTGGAATGGGCATGATCAGACAGGCCTGCAGAGCAGGAAGGGGTACAGTACCATGAGCCTTTCCCCACAGCTACAGCAGCACACCAGGCTCCACCAAGCTTGGCTACCAAAACCCCTCAGCCTGAAATCTGCACTTTCTCCAGGGGGATCTGAACCTACTGATGGTCAAGAGAGATTTCATGAAGTAAATGCAACCAGATCCTTCTGAGCACACAGGGGAGGACACCTCTACCTTTGCAACTGAACACTTGGAAGAGCTGAGGTTAGAAAGCAACACTAAAATGGACAAATGTTTCATACTGGACTGAGCTTAACACCATTGGCTCAGCTGTGCTGAATGACAGAGAATGACAAACACAAACATGGTAACGTTGACGGCAGGAGTCAGTAATAACAAAGTCTTCAATCACTTTACGTGAGAATGAAATGTGACTGATATTTGAGACTTTAACAGACCACAAAACAGTCTGTTCACTGCAGAGTGGAGATCACACGAGCATCAAGAATTTGGGAAAAAGGGGGAAGGAAAGATATAGGGAAAGCTGCTGTTATCTAGTTAAGCAACTTCCTACAGGCAACCACAAGTCAACAGAGAACAGCCAGGAATGTGGACGTGGGTAGGGCAGAAACGGTATCAGGAAACAAACCTACATCATGTCCCAGATTTGTGATGCGCAAAGTAAAACTTGCCAGGAGTTCAAGATCATTAAAAAAAATGATGAAAAATATAATTTATTCTTACCAAACCTTTCAGACACGCAAATAAAAACAATAGGTAGAGCTTCTCTAATATCAAAATTGAAAATCATCTGGCAATAATAGCACAAAAAAAAGAAAGATATTTCAGTAAATGGCAATATGGATGCAGGGCCAAAGCAGGTGATGGCTGTGTAAAAGCAGGAGTTGTCACCTGCTGAAAGCAAAGTAAAGAGCTAATTTGTTCCAGGCAGCCTTCGCCCTGAGAAAATGCCAAGAGAACCAGCACCTGCCATCTATCAAATGAAGGGTGATGCCTTGAGACTGTAGAAGAGCCAATGCAGTACTCACAGTTAAAGTGTGTATGTGTGGAGGAGGGAAATGTGATCCAGATTATTGTAGGACCATTAATGGCTTCAAAAGCTTGAAAGGGTTCTGAGCAAACATGAAGGAAAGAATTAAGATGGAGGCTACTGAAAGGTTTTGTTTCATAAAGCAACTATTTTCCTCTAACTATATAATTAATGATGAACTGAATTTTCATTTTAAAAAAATCCTTCTGATGCAGTGCCATGTGACGTTAATAAAGGCCGGATAAGCTGAGGAGGAGGAAGGAGCTTTCAGGTGGATAAACAAGTAACTGTAACTGAGCCAGCCATGGACAACGCAATAAGGAAGCTAGTGGGAGTATGTAGGATCTGCTGATAAAATCTGGAAATGACAAACCCAGGAGAATTATTGACATTGAATTCATAGGTCCAGTAGAAAGAACTGATGGCAGTAAATATTGCAACAATGGAGGATCAAACATGGAAAAAATGGCAAGGTCAAAGCTCCAAAGGGTGCCATGCATTTGACTGATACAAGGTGTTTCTCAGTGGAGAAAAGCATGAAACAATGGATTTGAGTTCTAGTCATCACACTGACCATAAGCCTCTATGATAATACCAGGCAGGAACAGAACATAATCCACAGAATAAGTCCAATTAAATGTCTCCACAGAAGTAAAAGCATAAATACCTTTGTACTATGTTGGCAAGATTCCTTCAGAAAAGCATCTGAAATCTTTTTATTCAATATCAAAGTAAAAAATAATCACAAAGGAAAATGGCAAAAGCAGCTGGAGTATGTAAACACAACCCTATAAGGAGAAGACCAAAACATCTTGCTTACTCTAGCAAAAAGAACCTTTTCCTGTGTTTGTTCAACAGGCAGGTGAATGGGAGAAGAACTGCAGCTAAAAAGAGGATGAAAATTCAAAGGTGCGCCTCAAGGATTGTTGAGAAGCCTTTCAAAAGGAGAAGCAGACACCAAACCATAACAGTTCTAGAGAATGACATTGGGAAGTTTATATAAAAAGGAAATGGCATAGTAGCACACAGTGGCAGTCACCAAGAAATCCTCTGCAGTCCCTTCTTGCACTGACAAAGTCAGTCAAAGAACCAGAGCAGTCAAAGAACCAGAGGCTGTATTAGCTACACGTGCTGGCATGAGGGTTTAAGACATCTCCATCAATGCCAGCTAAACGAAGTAATCCACAGCTTGCACCCCTCTTGGGGGTAAGAACTCTTCACATATTCCTCCTCATTTAAAGGAAGCAAACACCAGTATTGTCCATCCGGATGGATCTGCTGCAGGTGGAGAGTTTCCAACTCTCCAAAGGTAGCACTCACACCAGGACACAGCAGGGCTCCGGCAGCTGCCCTGGGACTGGTCACCAGCCATGGGTCTCCAAGTTCAGCCCACGGCAGCAGGCTGAGCTGGTCAGAGCCTGGGCAAGCAGCAGAAACAACAGGCAGGTGAGAAGAGCACTGCAACACCTGTGAGAGTTTTCAGCACTGTCTTTCCCAAGGACAAACGGGAAGGCAAAGGGAAAGCAGACACATTTAACACCCTGTCATCCATTCACATGCTGCAAGTCACAGAAAGTGTTTTGCTGTCTTATGGCCTTCTCTGCACAGCCCTACCACTTGATCTTTCCTTGAAAGCAGCCACATCAGACTGAATCTGAAATTTAATTTTTTTTAACCTCCAGTAAGCACATAAAAGAGCACTGAAACAATGGAGAAACAAACATGTAAATAAAACAGGCCATCATATCCTTTTATGATTTTTTAAAAATTTCTGATGCTGGTGGTTTACATTTTTGTATCTACTGTCCAACATCTATCTACAGTAGATATAAAATACTTTAAAATGGGGAAGTGTTTGTCACCCCTAGTACTGCAGTATATTCAGCCACAGTAAAGCATACCGTAACCAGCTGCTGAAAGGTCTTCTCCAGGTAATTAAAGCCTCTTATCAACCAAGAACCAGTAAGAAAAACTATGTCAGGGACAGAGCAGCATAAATGTAAGGCCCTGGATTAAACAAGGCATCAGACATGGTTACTTAAGGCGAAGTATTCAGTCACAGGCAATGTTTGGTGAAGCCTATAAAGGAAACAACAGGAGTTTTGCTTACTAAGGAAAAGCAGCAGCTGGGCTTACAAGTAACTTGAGAAGTTATTTAACAAAGTTGCAATTTTAAAATTTTGCAAATTCTCTCATACACAAGAAGATACTTTAATGGACAAAACAAACAATTATGCACTTCTGTAGAAGCAAAAGTGGACAGAGGGGTAAAAAAAGAAATAAAATAAGAAATCACAAAGTCTGGAGCAGCACAAGGGAAAGGAATAACATCCACAGATCTGTTAGCCTTTTATATAAATCTAGCTCTCCACATAAAAGGCTTCCTAACAATGTAATTTTCCATCACATCCAAGTACTGCATCTAGCACATTATCCTCTTAAAATATAAATCAGATGTAAAACATGTAAAGCTGCTTTATGCTGCTTTATTTAAACAGATTTTAAAAAATCAATAATGACATCTTATTTGTTTTGAAAATCATCCTAACTTGTTTTCAAATACCATGTTTTATTACTAAACCTTAAAACCCTCAG